CTGCAATATAAACAGGAGATTTGCAAAGGGTTCTAAAGTTTCTACTAGTGGACAAAGAAGTGGGGTGTGTGTGTGTGGGATGTGATATTTATGAGTTAGGATGTGAGAATATAGAGGTATTAGATCATAGGAAGGGTGAAAGAGGAATCAAAAGAAGTTGGCTGTTAACAGGAGAAAGAGAGAAAGATGTGACCCCATGCAAGGCTCTTTCCTACCTCTGTAACAAGATGGTGGCTATTAGCATACCTAGCAGGGGTACTTCTGGTGTAACCAAGCCTGAAGGGACCTTGTTGATGATCTTTTGGGTCCTGGCTGTTGTCCCTAAATAGAAGCAGCCACGTCCCTAGATGGTGGTGGTGCTAGCATTAAATCTGTAAGTACCTTGGTGTTGGGCTTCCAGTCCCTGGCTGGTGTCCCAAGTGGAAGCTGTGCCACTAAAGATGGTGGTGGCGGCCGCACAGGTAACCCGAGATGGTGGTGGAGGTATTCTAAGATGGAGGCGACCACTTTCAGAGATGAGGCTGAAAGGGGCCCTGCAATGGCCTTGAGTGGCCTGCTCGGAGATGCAGTGCTGTGGTGTCTGGTTCAGTGGTGGGGAGCTGCCACCAGGCCCTGTCCGTTGTCCCAAGATTGAGGCTACTATATGGGGAAGGCTATGGTGATGGCTGCAGTGTTCCAAGATGGAGGCAGGCCTGGGTGGCTATGTGTTGGTAAATGGGGAGCTACAGGATGGTCCTCTGCACTGGTCGGCAGTCTTTTGTGCAGGTAGGTGGTCCTGTCATGGTCCTGCATGGGCTGCATGTGGGTCATTGGTCCTCACGTCCCCAGATTTCTTAGTCTCTACAGCAGTCTGACTGTCCAGTATTGAATTTTGGTGAAATCCCTCTTTTACCCACCTTGCAGAGAAACAGTCTACCACCGCTTGAATCCCAAGCCACAGAGTGACTAGGAATGCATCCTTCCTCTAGCCCGCCATCTTGAATCCCCCTTGCCTTTAGTTTTGAGTTCTTCATTAAGTGATGTAATAAAAATAGTGGGCCTAGTGAAATTGAAGCTCCTACATAACCCCTTCTTCAGCTTCAGGTGAAGAATGCAATTAACTATTTCATTACTGAAATGTGTTGACAACACAAAGGAAGGTTTTAAGCTAAGAACAAATCATAAATTATTCCTCATTAATGTTTCTTACTTTGTAGATTTATTGAAGTAGTTATTGGCTCCAAAAAATGGGACATTAACTAACATTATGAGTACTTAAATTATTGAATCAAAAATGCAGTGATCCTATGGAAAACTTATTAATCGGTACTGACAGTTTATGAATTCAGAGCAAAAATTCAGCTTTAGAAAAGTGAAGTAGAAGTGATGTTTAATTAGTGTTATTTGAATCCCAAAGAAGACTTAATAGTACTAATAGAGCAAAGTCAATGTGTATATGAGACAAAGTTTTATTATTTTGAAACATTTGGTATAAAAATTCAATTGAATTAAAACATCAGAAGAAATTAGAATATTTCTTACAGAAAAAGAATGTATTAGATTTAAAGAATTTTTTTCTGGAGAGTAATTTAAGGAGATTAAGTTGCTGGAATACTGATTAATGGTGAAAATAGAGATTTTGGTCTGTTGAGGCAAAAGCTTCTCTTTTGCCATTTGCTGCCACTTGTGCTTTTTTGGTGATGGTTGCTATGTAGATTTTGAAGAAAATAGCATCTTGTTCAGAAGTGAAGTGTAGCGTAAAACCTAATATAGTTGAACATTTATGATGGGAAAGGGATGAATTTGCTAAGTCAGAAAAAGTAGAAAAAAGGAATCTGAAGAAAATAAGATGAATACTAGTTTAGTCCAAGTACAGTGAAAAGGGAAAAGTCATGCTGCCTATGAACAAGATTAATTTCCCTGTTGAAAGACAAATCTGTTTAAATTGGGCTATTAAAAATGGAAAACTAAAAATAAACAATAGCAAAAATATTTGAAAGCCTTAAAAATAGTGATAAAGGTTGAAAAGTTGTAGATAGTAGTAAATGGATAGGCAAAAAGATTTCAGGACACCAGTAAAGTCCAAAACAAATCAAAATATAATTTATTTCAAAGGTGTATATAAAGTATTTTAATGACAAAATATGAAGCATTAAGAAATGTTAAAAGACATGATTTTGGAAAATGATGGGTCAAAGTTGCTCATATGTAACAACATTAGCAACTAAACATGAATACAAAATTCTTTTTATTGTGAGATTTTGATCCCTTTCAACAATAACCTTTGTTTGATGAAGAATTTAAATCCTCATGTATATTAAAAGATTTCCTATTGCAAATTATTCTACAACTTTAATTTTCTGTGTTTTTTATGCCCCAAGATCTAAGTAAGCTTGACAAAAATGTTGGATTTGTAAACAAATTTACTTTTCAAATTCTTTACCTGGAAATATCTAGATCAAATTTTGTGTGTAAAAGAGGCTGGTTTATATTAGATATAAATTAGATAATTCAAATTAAAATGATGTTAGTCTTATACTTAGTCATAGGTAAGAGTTTTTAAGATTTATTTTTGTTTTGAGAGTGTAAATGAGTTACTCAAAATATCAAGATTATTGATTGTTCTTATAGTGTTTGCATTATTTTCTGAAACCTAGTTTACTTGTCATTTTGCCAGTGATCTACTCTTTTTTTTTAAGAGAGGGAGAGAGAGAGAGAATTTTTTAATATTTATTTTTTAATTTTCGGCAGACACAACATCTTTGTTTGTATGTGGTGCTGAGGATCGAACCGGGCCACACGCATGCCAGGCGAGCGCGCTACCGCTTGAGCCACATCCCCAGCCCCAGTGATCTACTCTTGAGTATAGCAGAAACTAGTTTTCCAGCCTTATAAGCATATATATGAAGATTAAGAAGAGATCATATATATACAATTTGGGATAAACTTGACTTCTTCAAGGGTTTTGAATTTGTGAAAGTAGGATCTTATCAACCACTAACATTTGTAAAATGCTTTACGGTGTACAAAGCATATATATTTTGCACATTTTATGCTACTGCTTATTGTGAATATGGTAACATCAAGAGTTGAGTTGTCTGTTCTGATTCAGTGAATCATAGATCTTACCAATCCCAAACTTTCCTAAGAATGTTGTTTTTTTTGAAGGAGTCTCAAATAGTGAGAAACAGATTTGAAAAATGTCCCTTTCTTCTGTATTAGGAGATGTCATGGTTTTGAATTAACAGAGAAGTTTTGAGTATTATGTGTAAAATCATTGCCCAAAGGCAGTTTTTTTTTTTTGAATTCTGATTTTATATTCTCATAATTACACAGCTTTTTTCATTACCCTTCGTTTTCCAGTTATATATTTAGAATCTGTAATTCCAGCCTTATTTACAATAAGCAGTTTAGATGGTTGAGCTCTTCCTTGCTAATCACATTTTCTAAATGGGGACTCCTTAGTTTTCTTCTAATAAATACTCTTAACAGGTTAAAAGTACCATTTGACTTGAGGTGATTATCATGTTTACTAGGACCCCTGGTTGAGCTCTTTTTATTCTTCCTCCTCTTTCTTTATAAGTTTGAGTTACAAGCCTGTAGTTAATTCTTTCCATCCCAATGCATAAGAGTGATGGATTTTTGTTTTGTGTGGAAAATTTAAGTTTGGTAAAGTAATTGTTTTAAGTTGTTTTGTTCCATACATTGTCAGTATTCTCAGTTTTTAGTTCATACTTTGGGAAAGGGTCAATTAGGGCTAGGGATTGTGTTACTAAATAGTCTCAAATATAACAGGCTATCCCTAAATTCTAAGTAGTTATTGATTGTTTAATATCATGTTTCATCATGAGAATTTTTAGGAGTATGTTTAAAACTACTACCCCTTTATTAGAAAGTGGAGTTAATATGAAGTAAAGTTGCGATTTGTTGCTGAGAACATAAGCCTTCTTCAGTTTATTGTAAGTCACATCAGGGTATGGATCCATTAGCAAAAAGAACATGTTATGGTTCTCTTTTTTCTCATTCACAGCTCTTCTTTTTTATTTTTGGTATCAGGGATTGAACCCCTGGTGCTTAAACACTGAGCCACATTCCCAGCTCTTTTTAAATTTTTTATTTTGAGACTGGGTCTCCCTTAAGTCTTTGTTAAATTGCTGAGGCTGGCTTTGAGTTTGCAGGCTCCTCATCCCCTGGGATTACAAGGTGTAGTGCCCTGCTCATTCACTGTTTACTTTAACCATACTTAAGTTTTGTTTACATTGTAGAGAGCCCTCAAAACTAGTAACACATTTAAAAAAAATTCTCTAAGAAGCTCTTAGTTTTAGGGTAACGTACACTTTCTAGGAAAGGACATAATAAAAAAAAAAAAAAACAACCTTAATATAGAAGAGCTGTTCTGTGTTTTAAAAGGAAGATTTTCAAGTATACTTGTGAATAAATCTAATGGTCTGGCTTAGTTTACTTTGATTGTAGATAATAATTGTACAGAAAATTAAAGATAATTTTTTTTTGTTATTGTTGTTGTACTGGGGATTGAACTCAGGGACACTCTACTACTGTTTACATCCCCAATCCATTTTATTTTTTATTTTGAGACAGGGTTTCAGTAAGTTGCCAAGGCTGGTCTCGAATTTGAGATTCTCCTGTCTCAGCCTCCTTAGTCTCTTGGATTTTAGGCATTGTGCCACAGCATCTGGCTGAAAAAATTTTAATATTTCATATACCCAAGAATTCTCTTTGTTAATGATGTAAAGGTTATTTGAAAGGATTAAAGTCATAGAATTTTGAAATTGCCAGAACTTTAGAACTCAAAATGACCCACTTGCTTTAAAAGAAAGAGATACTTAATGTATAGTTAATAGAAACTATTATATTTATATATTATACTTGGGCCTAGATGTGATAATTTAATTATGTACATTCAGTTTTATCTCATTGACAGGACTCTCTCTTGAGTTTTCTTTCAAGGATTTGCATTTATTCACCAAGTCATTGTTTTTTTTTTTTCTTTTTGCAACTAGGGATTTTAAAAATGAATGAAAAAGAGCTGGAAACAAACCCACAGCAGCGGAAATTTCCTAAATGGATGACAGTGCAGAATAAAAAATGTGCTGTAGAAGAAAGAAAGGTATATTATTTATTGACTATTCTTTCAGATGGGGAATTTAATTTAAATTTGGCTGTAGAATGAGTCAACCCTCACTTGTAAACTTCAGGTAATTATTTAGGTTAGTGTTTCTGATGTGTGAATGAACCAGCATCTAGTTCTAGAATGGGTGAATAGTAATAAATTTTGGGTTTACAAATGAGAACTTCTTGGGTTTTACAAAATGAGAACTTTGCTGTATATTCCCCCTTTATGTCAGTTTACATGGTTGGCCTTAGTAGTTTATTTGAATTCAGATAATTTAGAAACACTAACACTGGTGAATTTTGGGGGGAAAGCAGTTTAAGACCTTCTAGAATTAAGTTCTGACAACCAGTTATCAGCATTTTTAAAAAATATTTTTTAGTTGTAGATTGACAAAATACCTTTATTTATTTATATATATGTGGTGCTGAGGATCGAACCCAGTGTCTCACTTATGCTGGGCGAGTATTCTACCACTCAGTGGACTTTATTATTTTGGTGAACATTTATTATTTAATATGAACTTTACTTGTATTTGTGTTGAATTTTATTTTTCTCAAGGCATGTATTCTGAAGAGTGTTTTTGAAGATGACCTTCCCTTCTTAGAATTCACAGGATCTATTATATATAGCTATGAAGCTAGTGATTGCTCTTTCCTGTCAGAAGATATTTGGTAAGAGATTTGAATTTCATTGATTTTTGCATCCTTAGAAGATAATAACTATTTAGTTAATATTTGTGAGTATAGTGAGTTTTATAGTTGAGATGTGTTCCAGAGGAAATTAATTTTACAATATAGAGTATTAGTAAGTTCTAGTCTACTTTTTAAATAAAAATAAAATCATTATGAAAATTAAATTTGTAATATCTGTTCATTCATAAGCAATTTAGAAAAAAGGCAAAAATTATTCAACCTCTAAATGTTGAGTAATATAATATAAAACCTTATTTAAAATATCAACATAGTAATATTGAATAATGGCTATGATTGGTTCTCTTATTTGCTTAGTGACAGTATCACCAAGTGGCCCTTAAAAAGAACATTAGACATGACTGCTGGTACTGTTAATAGTTGCTGTAACAAAATTATCACAGACTGGGTAAATTATAAAATTATTTCTCACAGTTTTGAAGGCTGAGAAGTCAAAAATCCTGGCACTGGCATTTTGTGGGGGCCTCTGTACTGTGTCATAAGATGGTAGAAGAACAAGTGAACAGAGAAAGGAAAAGAGCATAAGGAGCTAAACTTAAATCAAATCTGCTCTCTTGATAACCTATCCATTCATGTGATAACATTATCAATCCATTCAGGAGGGCAGAGTACTCTTATTAGCCACCTCTCCTAACATTGTTGCACTGAGGTTTAAATTTCCATATGAGTTTTGGAGGTGATATTTATTTATTTATTTATTTTAAATTTTTATTGTTGGTTGTTCAAAACATTACATAGTTCTTGACATATCATATTTCACACTTTGATTCAAGTGGGTTATGAACTCCCATTTTTACCCCGTATACAGATTGCAGAATCACATCGGTTACACATCCACTGATTTACATATTGCCATACTAGTGTCTGTTGTATTCTGTTGCCTTTCCTATCCTCTACTATCCCCCTTTCCCCTCCCCTCCCATCTTCTCTCTCTACCCCATCTACTGTAATTCATTTCTCCCCCTTGTTTTTTTTTTCCCTTTCCCCTCACTTCCTCTTGTATGTAATTTTGTATAACCATGAGGGTCTCCTTCCATTTCCATGCAATTTCCTTTCTCTCTCCCTTTCCCTCCCACCTCTCGTCCCTGTTTAATGTTAGTCTTCTTCTCATGCTCTTCCTCCCTACTCTGTTCTTAGTTACTCTCCTTATATCAAAGAAGACATATGGCATTTGTTTTTTAGGGATTGGCTAGCTTCACTTAGCATAATCTGCTCTAAAGCCATCCATTTCCCTGCAAATTCCATGATTTTGTCATTTTTTAATGCAGAGTAATACTCCATTGTGTATAAATGCCACATTTTTTAATCCATTCATCTATTGAAGGGCATCTAGGTTGGTTCCACAGTCTTGCTATTGTGAATTGTGCTGCTATGAACATCTATGTAGCAGTGTCTGGAGGTGATATTTAAACCAAAGCAAATTGGAACTGTAATCTTTCAGTCTAAACCTCTTGAAACATTTTATAAGCAGAAGTAGTAAGGAAGTAAATCAGATCTGCTTTCTTTTTCTTTTTTTTAATTGTGCATCATAATTTTACATAATAATGGATTCATCCTGCCATATTTGCACATGCACCTAATTTGCTCAGTCTCCTTTTCTATCTTCCTTTTCCCTTCCTTTTTTCTTCCATCTTCTTTGAAGTTGTTACACCTATCTTTTTAAAAAAACAAAAAAACCAAAAAAAAAAAAACCAAACAAACCTGTTACATGTTGGGTTAAAAAAAAGAAATAAATTAAGCTATTTATTAATGTTCTGGTGATAGATGTAATCTAGAAATAGTATTCAGTTGTCCTCACTTCCACTCCAGTCCTTTTGGTTTTATTGTATTGAATTAAATTAGACTCACAGAGAGGGTAAATTCTTTATATATTAACTTCACTAGCTACCTTTGATATACCTATAGTATATCATATCTAAAATCAAAACATATAAATGATTTGAAGAATTAGGGTGTTGATGAATTGTATTTGCTTTATAAGAGACAGGCAGAATTTTTGTCTTTTGTTTTTTTTTTTATCCCCTGTTCTGTGGTCACTTTTAAGATTTATACCATCTATCAAACTAAAAAGCTTCTTCACAGCAAAGGAAACAATCAAGAATGTGAAGAAAGCCTATAGAATGGGAGAAAATCTTTGCCACCTGTGCCTCAGACAGAGCATTAATCTCCAGTATATATAAAAGAACTCAATGCGGCTGAGGTTGTGTCTCAGTGGTAGAGCGCTTGCCTAGCATATGTGAGGCCCTGGGTTCGATTCTCAGCACCACATACGAGTAAACAAAGTTAAAATCCATTGGTAACTAAAAAAAAAAAAAACTCAAAAAACTTTAACACCAAAAAACTCAGATAACCCAATTAATAAATGAGCAAAGGACCTGAACAAGCACTTCACAGAAGAAATATGATCTGTCAACAAGTGTATGAAAAAGTGTTCAACATCTCTAGCAGTTAGAGAAATACAAATTAAAATTATACTGAGATTCCATCTTACTCCAGTCAGAATGGCAATTATCAAGTATACCAATTAACAATAAATGTTGGTGAGGGTGTGGGGGAAAATATTCAGTTACACATTGTTGGTGGGATTGCAAATTGGTGTAGCTGCTCTGGAAATCAGTATCCAGATTCCTCAGAAAAACTTGGAATGGAACCACCATTTGACCTAGTTTTCCCACTCTTTGGCATATACCCAAAGGACTTAAAATCAGCATACTACAATGATGCAGCCACCTCAATGATTATAGCAGCTCAATTCACAATAGTTAAACTTTGGAACCAATCTAGGTTCCCTTCAACAGATGAATAGATAAAGAAACTGTGGCATATACATACAATGGAATACTACTCAGCCATAAAAGGAAATGAAATTATGACATTTGCTGGTAAATAGATGGAGTTAGAGACTATCATGTTAAGTGAAATAAGGCAATCCCAAAAAACCAAAGTTGGTATGTTCTCTCTGATATGTGGATGCTAACTCACAATAAGGGGTGTGGGTAGGGAAAAATGGAAGTACTTTGGATTAGACAAGGGAAATGAATGGAAGGGTGTGGGGAATGGGAATAGGAAAGATAATAGAATGAATCAGACATTACTCTCCTATGTGCACATATGAATATAATGACCAATGTAATTCTACATCAGGTACAACCAGAAGAGTGGGAAGTTGTACTCTATATATGTATAACATGTCAAAATACATTCTACTGTCATGTATAGCTAATGAGAACAAATAATAAATATAGCTGTTAAAAAAAAAAGATTTATACCATTACAGGTTTCCCCCAATTTATGATGTGTCTTTGTATAGTGTGGTTTGTATTTATCCTGCTTTGGATTCATTGAATTTTTGTTTGTTTGTTTTTTTGGGGGGGGGATTTGTGGGTTTATTGCTTTTATCATACTTGAAAATTTGCTTCAAATATTTTTTCCTTGCATCCTGATACGCAAGTTAGAGTGCTTAATTCTGTTTCTATTTTCTCTTTTGATTTTTTCCTCTTTGTGCTTCATTTTGAATAGTTTCTTTTGCTTTCTTTTAAGTTCACGATTTTTTTCTTCTGTAGTATCTCATCTGTTTATCTCATAAATTTTTTATTGTGGTTATACTTTTCATTTCAAGAAATTCCATTTAAAAATATATATCTACCATTTTGGGTCTCATATTCATGCCTTTAAAATATTCTTTTTTTTTTTTTTTAATTTTTTATTGTGGGTTGTTCAAAACATTACAAATTTCTTGACATATCATATTCCACACTTTGATTCAAGTGGGTTATGAACTCCCACCTTCACCCCATACACAGATTGCAGAATCACATCAGTTACACATCCATTGATTTACAAATTGCCATACTAGTGTCTGTTGTGCTCCACTGCCTTTCCCATCCTCCCCCCTCCCCCCTCCCCACCTCTCCCCTCCCCTCCCCTCCTCTCTCTCTACCTCCTCCACTGTATAACCCTGAGGGTCTCCTTCCATTACCATGCAATTTTCCTTCCTTTAAAATATTCTTGAACATAATTTACTTGTCTCAATTTCATTATTTTAGGCCTTTTTTTTTTTTTTCCTTCTTTTATTGAGTTGTTGTTCTCCTGGTTATGACAACATTTTCCTGTTCTCATGACTTCTAATTTTTTTTTTTGAGTAGGCATTGTGATTTTTATCTTGTTTGATTTTGTTGTCTTTCAAAGAAAGGAGTTTTGATTGTCAGATAGTTAAGTAACTTAAAGATCAACTTTATATTTTAAGTTATATTTTTAAGCCCTTAACTCTTATGGGTACTTTAAGCCATTTAAAGGTGTGATTCTTTTGGAATCTTTTAACTCTTAATACCTAGGAATTATTCAATTTATAGTCTACTAGTAGTTCTTTGCTTAGACTCATAGAATTTCAGTCTGTGCATGCTTGTCTTAGTATTTTACAAAGTCTCAAGGATAGCCTAGGAAGACTTATGGAGCTCTTTTCCTGCCTAATGCCCTTCTCTCCAAAAATATGCCTTACAACTTCCAATTGATTTAGTTTCTGAGTTTAGTGTTATTTAATCAATTCACAAGGTACATCACTTTTATTGGCTTTAATTCACTGAAAGTTCTTTTATTTCATTTCAATCTTAATTACTAATAATCTGTAACACTCAAGTCACACATTCTACTTCACATAATGATATACATAGGTTAAAGTAAAGCTAAGAAAGGGTTAAGACAGCCAAGGAAGCCACAGGGTTTCAAGGAGGCAGTGCCAAGAGAAAGATAGGATACAGATACAAAATTGTTATGTGGTCAGATAAGGGAACCAGTTTAGGAGAGTTGAGTCAGGGTACAGTTTATAGTGCCCTTTGAGATAACATCTGTTATGAGCTCAGTGGTCAGCATTTCCTCGATAGTTTTTATACTACTTTAGTGTTTTATATTCTCAAATATATATTATTTTGTCCATTTGAAAACATTTAAAAATGTTGTCAAACTGTATGTATACTATGTATTTGTATTTTTTCAGTCAACATTATGTTTTTGAGGGCTTTTCATATTGATCTGTGTAGTTCCATTTTGACTTTTATATGATGTTTATATGATATTTCATTGTTTTAGTATGCTACAATATATGCATTCTCTGATCGACAGAACTTTAGTTTCCAATTTTTTGCCAGTAGGAACAATGTTGCAATTAACATACTTAAACATGTTTGTCTCTTTGTATATGTGTAAGAATTTCATATATTTGTAACAAAAAATTCCCAAGTCATAGTGTTTATACATTTTCAATTAGAAACTGTGAAAGTTTTTTTCCAAAAGAATTTTACCAATTTATATTTTCATCAGTATCAGTAATGAGCAGTCTCACACATATTTGTTTGTCTTAGCATTTGATACTGTGAACCTTTAAATTTTGCCAATTGGATACATGTGAAAGAGTGTAGAGAAAATTGGTATCTTCATATAGTTATTTAGGTTTATTGGCCATTTGAATTTCCTTTTGGGAATTGACTATTGCTGTTTTCCTCCATTCTTCTGCTGGATTATTTATCTTATATGTCTTTTCATTCCCTCCATCTTTCCCAGAGGTGTTTTACTGCTGAACTACACCAGCACCTTTTATTTTTTGTTTTGACACAACCTTTCATAAGTTGCTTAGGGTCTTACTAAGTTACTGAGGCTGGATTCCAATTTGTGATCCTCCTGTTTCAGCCTTCTGAATTGCTGGGATATAGGGTGTGCCACCATGCCTGGCTTCTTAATAATATTTTGAGGAACTTTTAATATTTTCTGGTTATTATCAGTTTTATGTATCACAGATATCTTCTCCCATTATATGGTTTGTCTTTTAGATTTTGTTTGTCATTTAGTTTTAAAATGATGTCTTTAGTTCTGCAATTGTTTAAAATTTTAATGCAATTAACTTACACTATTCTTCCGGTCAAAACCCCCCACCCCCCAGCATGAATCTGTCTGATGGAGATGTGATAGGATTTGATATGGAATGGCCGCCAGTATACAGTAAAGGGAAACTAAGCAGAGTTGCACTAATTCAATTGTGCGTGTCTGAAAGCAAATGTTACTTGTTTCACATTTCATCAATGGCAGGTTGGTTATCTCTTTTTCTTTGTTTCATTTTTATATTGCTGATAATTGTAATATGTTAACTTTATCCCTGTAAAATTAAACTCTTTCATTACCTGGTACTTCTTTCATCATCTTACATTTATTTAACTATTTAGTTTCCATCTGATTCACTCATATTCATGTTTAATTTTCATAGCACCCTGTGAAGCATTGATATTTTTTCTGTTTTAAAGAAGAGAGAAATGAACTTTTGAGGATCTGGATGGAACTTTAGAGGATCTGGATGACCAGTAATACACTGTTGGTTCTAGCAGAGTACTCACACTCATTTTTTCTTACCATTTATTAATCAGGAGTTTTTGATTTAGGCAAGAAAAGAAATACTTGAGGTGAATGTGTTTCCGAATTTAAACTTAACATAAGCAATTTAAAAAATACAAATGGCATGTGTAAGAAATAGAGAATAAATCCATTATACTTAACAGAACTTATGGAAATAACAAAATGTTATAGTTTTTCCCCAGGGATTAAAAATGTTGCTTGAAAATAAAGCAATTAAAAAAGCAGGTGTAGGAATTGAAGGAGATCAGTGGAAACTTCTACGTGACTTTGACATCAAATTGAAGAGTTTTGTGGAGTTGACAGATGTTGCCAATGAAAAGGTAGAAATAACAAGTGTATTATTTTCATAAACAAGACGATACTGTGGTTTTTCTCTGTGGATGGTATCTTGTTTTTTAAAAAAAATAATTTAAGCTATGTACTGTTTTGTATGAGTACAAAGGTTCTGAGTGAATGTACCATAATGAAACCTTCAATTTTAATCCATCATTTTGGCAGTACTTAGTTTCTTTAAGTTTCCTGTCTTTCTTATCCCCAATTCTTGGTATTGTTTGACTTTATTTTCTATTGCAAATTTAAATATTTATTTTAAGTTTTTTAATAAAGTATTTGTACCAATAACTTTTTTTTAAAGAGAGAATATAAAGTAGCTATTGTGATATAATTCTCTGAGTGGAAGTTTGACCATTAATTCCACTTCCTATATTTCACATATTTTATTAATGAAGTCATTAAATTCTCATATATGGCTGGGCTGTGGAAAGCATACTAAACTATTGGGCTTTTCCCCCCATGAACAATACTTGTAAAGTCCAAGAATTTTAATACCTACATTGGCAAAATTCCAGAGTTAAATTCTTATACTGTAGACTACAAATGAGATTTTTAGTGACAGAAAATTTACTGAGGGTTGTTTATTTGTGGCCTGGTCATGTGGTGGTATTCAGGAATATCTGATAATAGAAGAAAGTAATTTTTGCTATGTTGCTTTCTTATTACTTCTAGCTGAAATGTATAGAGACCTGGAGCCTCAATGGTCTGGTTAAACATCTCTTAGGTAAACAGCTTCTGAAAGACAAATCAATCCGCTGTAGCGATTGGAGTAATTTTCCTCTCACTGAGGACCAGAAACTATATGCAGCCACTGATGCTTATGTACGTACTTAAAGATTTTTAGGTTGTTACGTATTTTTTAAACCTTAGCATAAATTACTTTAGAATAACTTTATTGTGGAAGAGGCATAAACTCTACCAAGATAATTAATATCAGTTTGGCAGCAAGAAATGCTTTCATGAATTGAAACTTAAGTCTTGGTATTAATTAGCAAGTATCAGTCAAAACATTGCTCAGTACTAGTTATTTTCATTGTCATGAAGCCAAAATAATGTGTAATTTGTATATAGAAAAAATGTGAAACTTGCTGAAATCATGAAAGACTAATAAGCTCAGGCTTGGAACGCACAAATGGTATTGATGATGTATTCAATAATTGCTTATAGCAATTCAGAATAAGAATAGTTGCAAGACATTTTCTGTATTGAAACTGGCCTTATTTCTTATATTTAAACTGTGGCAAAAATTTAGAAAAATTGCCTCCAAATTTAACTTGCTGCTTCTGTTAGATATATTTTTATTAGTACAAGTTTATATATAGTCAAATCTCAGCTTATCTTTACAGATAGCATTATTTGTATATATGTATTTAATATGAGGAATATATTTTGTTCCACAGTTAATTTCTTTTTCCCTAATTCATAATTTCATTTGTTGATGAATTTATTGTTTCCCATTTTGCATCTATTTTTAGGAATGTAAGCTTAATTTGTAACCAGAAAAATAATTTGTTTTTTCTTGGCAGGGTAATAGGGTGATACTTTTCCTTTAAAAAAAATTAAAAAACTTTTCAAACTATCAAAAGTTCTGTAGCACCTTCATTTGTGAAAAATCATTTTACTTGACTATTCCTGTTAACCATGCTTAGAAGGAGAACTGCTCATACACTAACATTCTCAGCTGATTTATTGAAATGGAAGGAAGTAGATATCTGTAATCAAAGCAGATTCTCTTACTATAATGTATTTTGTTAAATTGTATTTATAAGTCACATGATACCTGCTCATATATTGAGTGTTTATAAACGAAAACATATTTTAAGGCTGAGGCAGGTTACTTTCTCCATTCTTACAAATGGAATGGTGATTAAATGAAGATATTTGTGTACCATAGTAGGTTAAATTCAGTATTATGGGTGCTTTGGAAATCATACTTTTGGATTTATATAAAGCTGAGATGTATACCTTTATTTTGGTTATCTTTAACCTGCACCTATTTTTCTGTTTTCCTGTAGGCTGGTCTCATTATTTATCGAAAATTAGAAATTTTGAATAGTGCTATGCACATGTTTGCTCCAAATAAAGGTATGTTATGATCTAAAAAGATAAAAGGTGAATTTTCTTTTTTTTTTGTGAGATTTATTTTAAAAAAACCCCAATATTCAGATATTTGTAAAAGTATTTTTCAATATTAGAACTTCTCAAATGTCTGAGCAGTGTTGATGTGAAGGTGAGATTTATCAAGATCAAAGATTAGAGTTTTAGGTATGTTACTTGTGGTAGAGCAGCATTTATCACTTTTGTAGCATTACTACAAAACAAAATTTTTTGGAATTTTGTTGGAAATTTGTTGGAATTGGGGCTTGTAGGTTTGATAATATCACCAAAGCAAAAAACTTTCCTCCAGGCTAGAGATTATGCATCCTTGCTATAACTATTTAAAATGCTTTATATGTATAATGCTTTAAAATGTTTAAGATGCTTTATATTTTTCTAGTTTAAATTGTCATATTCTTTCTGCTGTGTTTCTTCACTCAACTTCAGTGCCCTTGTTAGATGTTGTGATGGATCAGTGACTGCATAAAGAGTTATGTGGAGTGGATGAGCATGCTTTTGTGTTATGTAGACCAGTGGTGGAATCCCAGTCGTGTGACCTGGGGTATATCTCTTTCCCTATGTTTGGAATGTGGATAATAGTACAATATCTATCTATATGCAGCTGTAGAGAGAGTTTTTAATACAGCTTGAGCTTCTCTAATCTGAAATATGGAAGGCTTTGAAATCCAGAACTTTTTGAGTGTCAACATGATGAACATATTTTGAGGTATTCAATAATATTTCCTAGAGAAAGTGATGTTTTAGGCAAGACCTTAAATATGAGCAGGCATTAGCTACCTGAAGAGAAAGGGAAAAGTGTTGTAGACCCAGGAAAGGCCAGATGCAGAGTGTTAGAGATCAGAGATATGATGCTGGTTGTGAGCAATTGAAATATATTGAGTCTAATGGGGTAATATAGGAGAAGCAGAAAAGGGAAAGAAGACAGGCTGTGTTAAGAAGTTCACGTTTCCTCCCAAGAGCAATTGAAGATTTTAAACACAGGAGTGAAAAAACATTATATTTCAAAAATAAAACAGATCAAAACAAAATTTGAACTATAGAGTACAAAGTGTAGGAGGGCAAAAGTCAAAGTGTGAATTCCCTTTGGGAGACTATGATAGTAAACCCAAATAAGAAGTAATGTTAACTTACCAGTTCTTTGTATTGAGTGATGTGGCTGTGTCAAACTACATTTAGTAGATTGGTATTATCAACAGAAATTGAGATATGGATGAGAGGCCACGATTTTTTTTTATCCATTCATCCACTGAAGGGCATCTGGGTTAGCTCAGAGACCATTTTAATAGTCCAGATAACAGATGATAATTGTTTGGATTAGGCTAGTAGCAAAGAGAGGTGGTGAGAAGTGGTGGATTCTGTAGATTTTTGAATATTTAGTGAAGTATTTGTAGATGAATTCTAAGAGTCAAGACTGAAAGAACAATCAAGATATTTTGGTTGAATCAGTTGATAAATGGAAAGGTCAGTTATAGTGGAAGAATTTGAGAAGAACAAATTTTGGTGAAAAACATTTAGATTTCAATGTTGGACTTGATAAATTTTAAATGGCTTTGATACTTATATGATATTTTAGTTGGAAATGCAATTTTGGAGTTCAGGGAAAAGGTTGAGGTTGGAGATGTAACTTATGAAACTGGATGAGAAAATAGGGAATGAATGAGGGCTGAGGCTGTGGCTCAGTGGCAGAGCACTTGCCTAGCATGTGTGAGGCACTTGGTTTGATCCTTAGCACCACATAAAAATAAACAAATAAAATAAATGAATTTTGTTCATCTACATCTATGATTTTTTTTTTTAAGGGAATTAATGAAATAAAGAAAAGAAGAGGTATTGACATCAAAGGGCACTCCAACACTTAGGTGAGGAAGATAAGAGCAGCAAAGAGGACTGAGAAGGGGAATTAATGAAGCAGGAAGTATCAGATTGTGGTGTTCAGGGGCCAGGTGAAACTGTTTTAAGTAGGAGGAAGTTTTCAGCTGTTTTAAATTTCTGAGTTTGAGCGAGATGAGGATTCAGGGTTAACAATTAGGTTTAGTAAAGTAGAGGCCATTAGTAACATTTCCAGAGGCAGCTTTACTTTACTGATAGGGGTGAAAGATTAGTTGGAGTTAGTTTAGACGAAAATTGAGAAATTTGAGACAGTGAGTGTGGACAATTCTTTTAAGGGTATTTGTTGTAAATGAAAATAAAGATATGAATACAGATCAATATGTGGTTTGGAGAGTAGGAGGATAAAGTAGTCCTTATTGTTTCTATTTTCTTAGTGAAATTAGAGGTGAAACTATTTCTTGAGTAAAAGGAAGGATAAGCAGGTGTTGGAGGCTCAAAGAGAAAGGAAAAGTTGTCAAATAGTCATCTTTCCAGTGGGAACTATAGATCTGTGCCAGGAATTTAAAGTGAACTGAGTGATTCTCTTTGTGTTTTATTTTCATCTATATTCTTCTGCTTGGGTGTAGGTAAAAAAGCTGGATTTCATTAGAATAGGGGTTTTGCCAAATAAGTACCATTGAGGAGGAGAGCAAAGATGTTGAGAGTCTATGCATCAGATGAATGACTACTAAAATGGGAGTAAGAAAAGAAAGACAATGGAGTGGGACTAGGAGAATAATGAAAAAGGTGGTAGGTTCAATAGATTTGGTTCTGAAAGTGTCAAATAATTGTATGGAAAGAAAGTCATGCTGGTGCTCATGGGGAATACTTACAATTGAATTTTTTCTTCTTTTTTATATTTTTTAATTGATGTGTACTTGGACTATTGAAGTGATGATTTTATTGGCAATTACAAGGTCAAAGATATATTTAAGGGAATAGGTGGCTGAAGTCAGCTGAAGAAAAATTATTGGAAATGGAGATGTCAAGGAATGGAAAAGGCCACATTTTTGGATTGACCATGTCTGTGAATGCTGAAATCACAAGGAATGATCACAGGAATAATTGTAGAGGGAAAGATAGTTAATGAACAAGGTGTTAAAATCAACACGTAAAGGCATGTGATTTTGAGATGACAAGAGAATTGTAGCAATCAGGAATAACAGGTTTTATGGCCCAATGTCAGATGCTTTAGAGCTAGACTTTTTAAAGGACAAGGGAAGTTGTGATGAAAAAATGCTAAGAAAGGAAAGGTTTGGGGAAAGGAGAACAGATTTTGTGCTGTTGATGGAAAATGAGATTATAATGAAATTGATAATTTGGAAAATGATTACTGATTAGAAAGTCTTGCATTTGATTTTGGTTTTGACTGGTAATGAGGGCAATGAAGAATGACTGTTAGAAGAGATTATATTTACCAAACTGTATCAGCCCTCATGTTACTGTATTGATTTCTAATTTAGAAATAGTGCAGATGAGTGAAGCAAAGTGATATGATTTGGAGATGAATAGTCTTTTTTGTTGGAATTCAGTTTAAGGAAAGAATATACAAATCTGAGCCCTAATACTAGTTAATGAAGTAGCTGAATAAATATTTCTGTTTTGTAGTTTGAAAATGAATATTGATTTTTATTTTTCCCTAGAGGAGAAAATCTCACCTGGTGAAGTAAAGAAACAGTTGACTTCAATCTCTGAGGAGATGATGTATTTGGCTAAGCATTTTCCTGACAGTTGCAGAAAATTGGAAAATTCACAGAGGTTAAATATGTTTTTATCAATTACATTTATTCTCATTCCTATATATGAAGAATTGACTGTTCATAAAGGTGGATTTATATATAGATTCGTACATCCAGATGTCTAAGGATTTTCTGTCTTCTTTATAGGCTATTTTATGAACAAATTATATTTTGAAATTACTTTTGTATTTTTGTTAAAGCAAAATAAAATAAGCACATATTAAGGAAAATACTTGATGCAAAGTTGTCTTTCTGGTTATGAGCATCTTTCATTTAATTATAGTTTGATCACTTGAAATCTTTAAATAAAATAGGTTATCATCTGGTTATTATTTAATACTCTTATCTAGTTGGCAGACTATTAAAATAGAGGGTATACAAAGTTTAAAAATTGTTTTATGGTGAAACCACTAAATAACTTGAGATACTTGGATTGAATGTTCTACACAGATTAATAGACCTTAGACTCCAGGTGCTATGTAGCTAAATCTTTTTGGAACCAAACCTTGCTTTGGTCTTAATTGCTGAATGACTTTTTTCTTAAGTCTTTAAAAGCAGGAATGTTCTTGAATAGTGAACAATGTAATAATGTATTTTGTGGGCAAAGATATTTGTTAGAAATGTGAAGCGGTTAGCTGAAATAGAAAATATTTGACTCTGGGAAAGTGCAGTGTTAATGTATTCTTTTTTGGATAAGATTTGTGATAGGTTTTGATTAAGAGATTAAAGAATGTAGCATAGAAATTCAAATTTCTAAGTCATTTTTTCCCTTACGAAGAAGTTGTTTTGGTGGTTTTTAGGTAACTGAGAATTTTGAAAAAATATAACTTTTAAATGGGTAAAAGGTACTAGTAAATCCATTTCTTTGTCATTTTTACATTTTTCTATAAAATTAGAAAAATCTTCTTTTATCTGATTTTTATATACCTTTCAGATTTTTGTACTGGCAGTGAAAATATCTACTTAAGATAAATTGCATATGTTTAATGCTTTTCTTCGTAACACCAAAGCTAAATAGATTTTCTTGAAACTTAACAATGAGAAATATTGGGTCTCATAAAATTTTAGTGTCAAAACAATAACTAATCAAATCTCTTATTTCATGTTCTTTGTTATACATCTTCAGTAAAACATAACTTATTCAGATTATACTTCAGAACTAGGAGGGAGCAAAAAAGGCCTTTTAGTAGCCAAAATACCTGCCATAAGCATGCAGTTGGACTCACTTTCTGCATTTCCAGTGGAGTGAATAGGCTGCATTCAGAGTACATTTGCTTTTTGTTTATAGATTGAGTCTGACAGGCTTGGATTTCTAGTTAAAATGACAGTGATATGAATAAAAAATGATATGTGCATGACAGCAGCTAGAACTGATAGCTAGTAGTCTATGAAGGAGTAGCCAAATTTTAATAAATTTGAAATAAAACTCTTAAAGAAGTTTGAAGTTTATTGCATAAGGGAACATATGTTTCAGTAGAACCTGGAAGTTCACTGAATATAGTATTGCAGAGTTATTGATTTAAATTCAATACATTATTTGTTTTATTGTTGTTGTATTTGATATTCTGCTGGATGCCAAGACTGTCCACAGGCAACTAATGCATGATAACAATCCCAAGAAAGAAGGGTGTATATTATGTCCTATTAAAGAAGGCAGAATGGCCTTTGGTATTTGTTAGAGTAAATATTAAATTACTTTGTATGAAATATTTTTGATATTAGTGCAGGATAAATGAGCCAATCTTGTTGGTTGATCTGTGCCACTTTTGCTATATTTATATTACAGCATCCTGTACATTTAATAATTAAGCTGTATCACGTAACTGTTCCTACTAAATTACTTATAGACAGTTCTTCAATTTGGATAGCTGTGTATAATGCTAAATATTCTTCTCTCTCTCTCTCTCTCTATATATATATATATACACACACACACACACACACACACACATATATATATATATATATATATATTAGTTGTTGATGGACCTTTATTTTATTTATTTATATGTGGTGCTGAGAATCGAACCCAGTGCCTCATACGTGCTAGGCATACGCGTTACCACTGAGCCACAACTGCAGACCTAAATATTTTTTATAGTTGTATATAATGCTAAATATTCTTTATAAGATTTAGAGAATTTTATAATTTTAAAATCAATGTTTTGGGGCTGGGGTTGTGCCTCAGAGGTAGAGCGCTCACCTAGCATGTGCAAGGCCTTGGGTTCGATCCTCAGCCCTAAATAAAAATAAATAAAATAAAGGTATTGTGTCCAACTACAACTAAAAAATAAATATTAAAAAATGTTTTTAGTTTTTGGATTTAATTTTGCTGTTGATTTTGTTTGTGTTAATGTAGAGTTTGCTTAGAAGCTTAGGCCCACTTTGAAGTGCTATTAATGATACAATTTTCAGTATAGAAATAATTCCTGGTGGGAAATTTTTCTTCTATATTTCAAAGGATATGTGTACAGTTTTGATAATTTTGAAGATGCAAAAAGTATCATTTTTAAATTGTAGCATAAGCACTATTATGATTTGCATTTGGGACTAGTAATTAATTGATCAGTGAGTTGAAAAAGTTAGCTATAAAAAGAGATCATAAAAGTTTGCTTTTAACTTAACATATTAATATATTTGTTCCCAATTTTTTGGTATGTACCAAGGGTTTTTTGTTTGTTTTTAATTATAGGCCTGCTGTTTGTAGTTCTTCAGGGTCTTTCTTGTTCAGACTATACTCAAAATATATTATCTACATTTTCTCATTTCAGTTTCTTTAAAATGGAGAGAAAAATTAAGATGCTTGAAGCCATCTGAGTGCACAGTCCTAGGAATTTTCCTTCAGATTTTAATTTTTGACTATAGTTTATCAAATAACTTTTTTCTTTTTAAAAGAAATTTGCTAGGTCTTTCGATGTGTTCAACCCAGAATTTAATGAAATAGTTTTTCTTTTATGTAGTCATGTATCATTGACTTACTTTATAGTTAATTGAATTAGTTACCGTGCCCCCCCTCCAAATAAGTAAAGCTGGCATAAATAAGTTGATTATCAAACACTGTTTACTCTTAGCATACAAGTCAGTTGTTAGATGCAAAAGTACCTTGCTGTGCTAGAGAGTGCCTACTACCTATCCTTACATGGGCATGAGGGACTAGGGGATGAAAAGCAACTTTATCCAGTGGGTTTTCTAGCAGGTCAGTTTAAAAGCTTTAAAGCTTGCTAGTATAGTTAATGCAATTGAATTGAATAATCTTTCTTTAAAAATTTTTTAGGGTTTCTATAATTTTGAAGAATATTTCAGAAAATCTATGTTCACTGAAGAAGATTATATTTGGTTCTTCTAACACCGAGACTGAACTGAGCCCCAGCAGTAACTTTGATTTATTATCATTGGAAGAGTCAACTGTTGGTAGACATCAACAGAAACAAATTAGAGAACATAAAATTTTAACTAAAGATGAGCCATGGGATATAACACTTGATAATTTAGTTAAACATGATGGAAAAGATGTACTTGGAAATGAAGTAAAGCAAGAAGATGGATTTAAAGATGGAATAGAAGACAATAAATTGAAAGAAAATACGGAAAGAACTTGTTTGATGTCATTAGATATTACAGATCAAGAACTTGAAATTTTGGAACAACAGGCTCAGGAAGAATCTCCTCTTAATGATGTTTCTTACCTTTCTGCTGAGGTACTAAATAAGGAGGAAACACTTTGTTTATTAATTAGTAGGGATTGTCTTTTTTTTTTTTAAATGGACACATAGTAAATATTTTACACTTTATGAAACATACAGATACTCACTTCTTCCATAGAGACAATTCTGTAGTGTGACCCTAGCCACAGACAAATGTAAACAAACATGCCTTCTGTTTTTTAATAAAACTTTACATATAAACAGTGGGCTGTATTTGGTTTGTGAGCCACAGCTGTTGCCCTGGACTTAGTATAATAAATAGCACTGTATAGTGGAAAAAATTTATAGTATCAATAGACATTTGTTGTAATTTTCTATTTTACAATTTCTTATGCTTTTTTTCTTTTTTGTATAATAAGTATCTGTTTTTTGTGTATTCTTTACATATCTTCTAGTGTTTACTCTTCTAAACTTGACTTTTAGGTAGTTTTTATTTCATACAAAGTTTGTTTACCTGCTAGGTAAAGTTTTTAGTAAATACCTCATGTTTTTGCTTGACATGTCTTACTATCATCTTTAAAAGTCAGGTACTTGGGGCTGGGGTTGTGGCTCAGCAGTTGATTGCTTGCCTCACACTTGCGAGACCCTGGGTTCGATCCTCAGCACCAAATAAAAATACATAAGTAAAATGTTTCCCCCCCCCCTTAATTTCTCATTTGTTTTTATTAGTTAAGAAGTCCATATTCTCTGGAATTTTATACATTTTTTGTAATAAGATTTTAGATTTTGAAAGCTTGCTAATAGGATTATGGCCTCATTTTTCTAATGGAAATGAAATTGGAGAAATTCTCTGCTTTGATCACTATATTAATAATCATTTTTATTATGTAGATATATTTTATTTTAAAATTGCTTTTCAGCTATTCTCATTTCAATCATTTGTGCAGAAAGCAGTTTCCTCCTTTGGGAAATACCATTTTTTGCTAGCATCTGTATTACTCTTTAATTTTCTAGACATTTATTTTTAGATATATACTTTAAAGTGATATTTTTCGTATATAGAATTATGATAATATTTCTTGACTATTTTTAAACCAGTTATAATTTTTATTGTATAATTATTAGCATTTTTTCTTATTCATTCATTCATTCATTCAAGTTTTTCAATTATTTATTCAAGACCTTATTTAAAAAGTAAAAGAGGGCTGGGGTTTTGGCTCAATGGTAGAGCACTTGCCTAGTGCATGTGAGGCAGTGGGTTCAGTCCCCAGCACCACATTTTAAAAAGTAAAAGAATTTTTATCTCCTAGTAAAATACTTCCTTTAAAGACCTTTTTTTTTTTTAAAGCTTAAAACTGGCAGGTCAATTAAGGCTATACTTATCCCACTTCTAGCTTAAATATGCATTTTGGAGGCAGATTCTCTGTCTTCCTTCCTCACTTCCTCCCTCCCTCCCTCTTTCTTTCTTTTTATTCTTTTCTTTCTTTCTTTTCATTCTTTTCTTTCTTTCCTTCCTTCCTTCCTTCTTTCCTTCCCTCCCTCCCTCCCTCCCCCTCTCCCTCTCTCTCTCTCTCTCTCTCTCTCTCTCTCTCTTTCTTTCTTTGGATTGAACTCAGGGCCACTCAAGCACTGAGCCACATCTCCAGCCCTATTATGTATTTTATTTACAGACAAGTTCTCAAGGAGTTGCTTAATGCCTTGTTTTTGCTGAGGCTGGCTTTGAAATCACAATCCTCCTGCTGCAGCAGCCTCCTGAGCTGCTGGGATTACAGGTGTGCACAAGTGCACCAGGCTTTTTAAAATTTCTTTTGTGAGTTTTTGATCACTTGATGTACTGGGATTGCCAAATTATTATAAAGATTCCTCATATCCAAACTTCAGCAGCAGACCAAGTAAATAACAGGACACCTTTTCAAACATATATAGATTTTCTTGGAAAATTACTGATTTATTTAGAGATACCACAGTCATAGTGTATTAGCTTTCATATCCTTTTTTTTTTAATATTTTACTTTTTAGTTGTAGTTGGACACAATACCTTTATTTTATTTATTTTTATGTGGTGCAGAGGATCCAACCCAGGGTCTCGCACGTGCTAGGTGAGCGCTCTACCGCTGAGCCACAACCCCAGCCCCAGATTTTGTATCTTTTTAAAAACATCAGTAGATTTAATAAAAGAATAATTACTGTTCTTGGCTTATATGGTTTTTTAGCCCTGTGAAGAGTTTCTTGTACTTAAAATGTTTGGGAAACACAGTTTGATGTTGTTTAACCACAGTTGAACTTTGTACTCTTATTTAGAGCAGGAATTTTATGTATGTTTATCTAACTTGTCTATCTTGCTGTATTTCTTTTTTTCCTTTTATTTATTTATCCTTCTTCCTCTCCCTTTATTTTAGATATTTATTTTTTTAGTTGTAGTTGGATACAATACCTGTATTTTGTTTACACTTTTTTATGTGGTGCTGAGATTCGAACCCAAGGCAAGGCCTTGCACGTGCTAGGCAAGTGTTCTACCACTGAGTCACAACCCCAGCCCACCTTCTCCCCTTTTTAATACATTTGTTGAATAGAGAAGAGGAAGATATCTACAGTTATCTAGCATATGGAAACTTTATTTTGTAGGAAAGAGGATATAGAATCGATTATACTGGAAATTAATGTTTGAAATACTTTCTTTTAAAGCATTTGTCTCCCAATGATAATGAAAAAGATTCATCTTACTTAATTGAAAGTGATGAAGATTTAGAAATGGAGATGCTTAAGGTATGTTTAAAATTTTGGAAAAGTTACCTATTCTTTCCAAAGGACACTTAATTAAGTAAACTATTACCTGATTCTAAACCAGTTTCCACAGTAATGAAGTTGCTACCAATTATGTAACATTCTAAGTACAAGAAACTCTTCACAGGACTCAAAAACTATACAAGCCAAGAACAGATTTAGTGTTTTTCAATTCATACTTCTGTGTATGTTTATATGGTCTATAAATAAAGTCCTTTAGTTAAAATTATAAAAAATAATAATAAATGTAAGTTTTAATGGTTTCATGAAATCTTCCATATCACTTCTTTGTAAAAAGTTTCATAGATGAAATAATTTTGAAATAGATAATCCTAATATTGTGGAACCAGAAAAAAGCCAAATAATTTTTTTCACATACATAATATTCTTTCCTAAAATTATTTCCATCTTGTTTTTTGTTTCAATAATTGCAAAAACATTTTCATTGTTTGCTTATGGTTTAAATCTTATCCTTATTCAGTAAGAATGACTGACATATGATATAGAGAAACTTATTACAAAAATAGCATTGGAATCTATATTTATCAATTTGGAATTGCAAACATTTAAATACAAGAAAGAAAAAAATGTTTAAAATTATCCAGATTCAAAATTTATGATAGATTTCTCCAGGGGCAGTTTATTCTATGCTATTAATGAACCTTGTTTATGCTGGATGTATTCCATCTTTGGCCTTGTGCCTTGGAAACCATTCTTAAGCACATATTTATAGAGAAGCACACATGTTCTTTTGTGGTATTGCTTGCACATCTGCCAGCTTTGAACAAAATCGTAGGCTCTGTTAATAATACTTCTTTGTGCTTGATGAAAAAGATTTGATACTGTCAGTGGTTTTGCTTTTAAATTTTCTTTTAAACTTTCAGTCTTTAGAAAATCTAAATAGTGGCATGGTAGAACCAATTCATTCTAAATGCTTAGAAATGGAAAGAAATCTGAGACTTTCTACTGAAGAAGATGATGATGATAAAAATGAAGCTATTGAAGAGGAAGAAGAAGATGAGGGTAAGCACTGAAGTGTGTTTTATTTAACTCTCTTGATCCGCACCACTGTCTTTAATTTAGAGTACATGTGTTCTGGAGGTCAGGGACTTTGTGACATATAATTATTAGTTCCTTTAAACTTGCTATGAAATTCCTTAGTGCTCTTGTCTCCATAAAGCGGAGTCTTACTATTTATAAAAATGTGTAATAGAAGTGTTGTGTCATTCAGTGGATGTGGTGAATTATATATTCACTTTTTTCATACTGAATTATATTTTATCTGGATCTTAATGATGGTCAAAATCATTTGCCAATTACTTATATTAAAGATCATTGTTAGTGACATGTATGGATATGTAGCATTATTCTTCAGGATCTTATTATTTAAATAAGTAGGACAATAAAAAGGAACAAAATGGACTTATTTTTAGACAGTATGTTAACAAAGAATTTATTAAATGAACTTTCTGTGTAAGTGCAAATAAGCATATTATGGAAAGTTTGGGTTATTCTCATAAAGTAGCACTCTTACTAAACTCAGACTTCATCATTGACAAATGAAAATTTTAAAGCCATTTTATAGGTGGAAAGTATATATGAATATGTTGACAGATGTTTTCCTCTTTGTTTTCTTATAATTTGTCCAAATATGTTTGGTTTTCTCTCTACAGTTGTTAAAGTTGAGAAGTAAAATAATTAATTTGTTTAGTAAAAAATTATCTTGATTTTTTTGTTTTGACCTTTCTTGGTCTCACATGAACCTTTAAGCCAAATAATAAACAGTGGAAATCACTTGGGTAGAACTAACATAACTTCATTGTACTGTGCAGTTAGAATTTTAATCAGATAGATAGATAAATTTACCTAAAAATCGGTTTTAGATAACTAAATTAGATGTAGGTAACTAAATTTAGGTAATAGATTGAGTTTTAAAATTAAGATTTTATTTTATCTGTAGACTTCACTTATGACACTGGTATAATTTCTGATTACCATTAATTAGTTAGTTATATTATAAATTATGGATTGTTATATTGCTTATTATGGTGGATTCTAGATGTTAGATCTTAAAAACTTAGCTGATTTCCAAAACATTAGTTTTTTGCAGTGCTGGTAAAGTCTGAACCACAACAAAATTTTAATACTTTAGTAAAATCAAGGTATTTACCTGAAGTCATTACTTATACTCTGAGAACAAAATTAAGTTGGAATTAAAACAGTAACCTCTGAAACCTACCACTATATTTATTCTTTAAAAAAAGCCAATGAAATAAACTCCTTCCTCCTCTTATTTAGTGTATTTCTATTTGAACAGAAATGCCTATTTTGTTTTATTTTAAGATCTTTTATTGCCAGAACCCAATGAAAAGCATATTGTTTGCCTCAAGACCTACTTTGGCCATAACAATTTTAAACCGTGAGTATAATTTCAGTTAATTAAATAAAATACTTAGTGTTTTCTTCACAAAGAACAAAAAGGTAAATAACCCATTTTTTAACAGTAGCATACAACTTCTTTGTAATCATGCATGCCACACTGTATTTCTTATGTGTGACTATAAAATTATTTCTGAAAATTTTTTTTATCAGTAAGGAAAAATGATTTTCATTTTAATTGAATGCTTCTGTTTAGAAATATTAAAAAATGAATTTTTATTTAATGCTGATTTTTTTTCCATTAAGTATCTATGTGCTTTTTTTGTGCATCATATTTTCCATAGTATGCTAAGAAGTTCATAAGGCAATAGTTGAAAGAATAGTGGTAATTTTATCTGTTTTAATATACTCAAATGTATTCACATTTAACAGGCACATATATACATAAAAAGGATGAATAAAAATGAGAAGAACAAGAAGTAAATTTGAATAAAACTGTTAAGAATGTAGACTGTTTTCCAGCTTTGCGAACTTGCAGAAGAATATATTGAAGCATTTTTTCTGTTTTAAGATATTTTTATTTAAATATATCCTACATACAGAAAAATATACATATGATACAGATCAATGAATTTTGATGAACTGAGCACTCTGTGTAACCAGCACTTAGATAAGAATAGGTCATTATCAGCATAGCAGAAGATCACCTTTCCAATTGATTTTACCTTGACATTTTATTAAGAAAAATTTCTAAGATACAATAAATTGAAAGGATTACTACTACTACTACTGCTGTGGACTTGGGCTTATTCACCACCTACATTCTATTATTAACACTTTATTTTACTTGTTTTATCACATCCATTTATACATATCTCTATCCATCCATTACTACAGTTTTTGGATAAAATTTGCATATTAGGAAGAGTACAAACCTTAAATGTATGTTTGCAAATCTCAAGTGTACACACACACATCTATATAACCTAAGTCTTCATCAAGATATAGAACATTATCACCACAAAGTTCTGTTATTTTTTTTTTCATTTTTAAAAATTTTAATTTGTTATATATAACTCCAGAATGCATTACAATTTCTATTACACATATAGAGCACAATTTTTCATATCTCTGATTGTACACAAAGTACAGTCAAACCATTCGTGTCTTCATACATGTACTTAGGGTAATGATGTCCATCTCATTCCACTATTGCCATTTCCCCTCTCTTCACCTCCCTCCCCCTTTCCCCTGTGTCTTATCATCTAATCCTCCCATGCCGTGCCCCCCATCACCATTATGAATCAGCAGCCTTAAATCAGAGAAAACATTTGGCATTGCTTTTTGGGATTAGCTAACTTTACTTAGCATTGTATTCTCCATCTCCATCCATTTACCTGCAAATGCCATGATTTTATTCTCTTTTATTGCTGAATAATATTCCATTGTGTACATGTATCACATTTTCTTTATCCATTCATCTACTGAAGGGCATCTAGGTTGGTTTCACAGGTTAGCTATTGTGAATTGTGCTGCTATAAACATCGATGTTGGCTATGTCCCTGTAGTATGCTGTTTTTAAGTCCTTTGGGTATTTACTGAGGAGAAGGATAGCTGGGTCAAATGGTGGTTCCATTTCATGTTTTCCAAGGATTCTCCATACTGCTTTCCATATTGGCTGCACCAATTTGCAGTCCCACCAGCAATGTATGAGTGTGCCTTTCCCCCCCACATCCTCGCCAACACTTATTTGTATTCTTAATAGTTGCCATTCTAACTGAGATGAAATCTTAGAGTAGTTTTGATTTGCATTTCTCTATTTCCTATGGATGTTGAACACTTTTTCATATATTTGTTGACTGATTGTATGTCTTCTTCTGAGAGGTGTCTGTTCAGTTCCTTGGCCCATTTATTGTTTGGGTTATTTGTTTTTTTGAGTTGATTTTTGAGTTCTTTATATATCCTAGAGATTAGAGCTCCATCTGGTGTGTGAGGGGTAAAAAATAACTCCTATTTTTTAAGCTCTCTATTCACCTCACTGTTTCTTTTGCAGAGAAGAAGCTTTTTAGTTTGAATTCATCCCATTTATTGATTCTTGATATAGGATTCTTAGTAAGGAGGTTGGGGCCTAATCCAACATGATGGAGATTTGGGTCTACTTTTTCTAATAGATGCAGTATCTTTAGTTTAATTCCTAGGTCTCTGGGAATTAAACTTTGAGTTGAATTTTGTGCATGTGAGAGATAGGGCTAATTTTGTGCATGGTGAGAGAGAGATAATTTCATTTTGTTGCCTATGGATTTCCAGTTTTCCCAGCACCATTTGTTGAAGAGATTATCTTTTCTCCAATGTACATTTTTGGTGCTTTTGCCTAATATACGATAATTGTAATTATGTGGGTTAGTCTCTGTGTCCTCTATTCTGTACCATTGGTCTACAAGTCTGTTTTGGTGCCAATACCATGTTGTTTTTGTTACTATTTCTCTGTATATAGTAGTATAGTTTAATGTCTGGCATAGTGATGCTACTTGCTTCATTCTTCTTGCTAAGGATGCTTTAGCTATTCTGGTTTTTCCAGATGAATTTTATAACTGGTTTTTCTATCTATGAGGAATGTCAATGGGATTTTGATTGGAATTGTATTAAATCTGTATAATGCTTTTGGTAGTGTGGTCATTTTGACAATATTAAGTCTGCCTATCCAAGAACAAGGTAGATCTTTTCATCTTCTAAGGTCTTTTAAAATTTCTTTCTTTAGCATTCTGTAGTTATCATTGTAGGCATCTTTCACCTCTTTCATTAAGTTGATTCCCAAGTATTTTATTTTATTTTGGCTGTTGTAAATGGGTAGTTTTCCTTGTTTCCCTTTCAGAGGATTTGTCACTAACATACAGAAATTCCTTTGATTTATGGGTATTGATTTTGTATCCTGTTACTTTGCTGAAGTCATTTATTAGTTCTAGAAGTTTTCTGGTGAAATTTTTTGGGTCTTCTATGTATAGAGTCATATTGTTGGCAGATAGTGCTAAGTTGAGTTCTTTTATATCTGTCCGTATCTCTTTAATTTCTTTTTTCTTTCTGATTGCTCTGGTTAGAGTTTCAAGAACTATGTTAAATAGAAGTGGTGAAAGAGGGCATCCCTGTCTTGTTCCAGTTTTTAGAGGGAATGCTTTCAATTTTTCTCCATTTAGAATGATGTTGGCCTGGGGCTTAGTGTAGATAGCTTTTATGATGTTGAGATATGTTCCTGTTATCCTTAGTTTTTCTAGTGTTTTGAACATGAAGGGGTGCTGTAATTTGTTGAATGCTTTTTCTGCATCTATTGAGATGATCATATGATTCTTATCTTTTAAGTTTATTGATGTGATGAATTACGTTTATTGATTTGCACATGTTGAACCAAACTTGCATCCCTGGGATGAACCCCACTTGATTGTGGTGTACTATCTTTTTGATATGTTTTTGTATTTGATTTGTCAGAATTTTATTGAGAATTTTTGCATTTATGTTTATTAGAGATTGGTCTGAAGTTTTTTTTTTATGTGTTTTTGTCTGATTTTGGAATCAGGGTGATATTGGCTTCATAGAATGATTTTGGAAGTGCTCCCTCTTTTTCTATTTTCTGAAATAAATTGAGGAGTATTGGTATTAGTTCTACTTTAAAGGTCTTGAGGAACTTGGCTGTGTATCCATCTGGTCTTGGGCTTTTGGTTGGTAGGCTTCTGATGGTGTCTTGTATTTCATTGCTTGAAATTGATCTGTTTAAATTGTGTATATCATCCTGATTTAATTTGGGCAAATCATATGACTAGAAATTTGTCGATGCCTTCAATATTGTGTATTTTATTGGAGTACAAGTTTTCAAAAATAATCTCTAATTATCTTTTGTATTTTTGTAGTGTCTGTTGTGATATTTCCTTTTTCATCACGTATGTTAGTGATTTGAGTTTTCTCTCTCCTTCTCCTCGTTAGCATGGCTAAGGGTTTGTCAGTTTTATTTATTTTTTCAAAGAACCAACTTTTTATTTTGTTAATTTTTTCACTTTCAATTTCATTGATTTCTGCTCTAATTTTATTTATTTTTTCTCTGTAGCTTGTAATTCAAGGCTCTAATTTTAATTATTTCCTGTCTTCTACTGCTTTTAATGTTTATTTGTTCTTCTTTTTCTAGGGCTTTGAGATGTAATGTTAAGTCATTTATTTGTTGACTTTTTCTTTGTTTAAGGAATGAACTCCAGGCAGTGAGGTTTCCTCTTAGAACTGCCTTTGTAGTGTCCCAGAGATTTTGATGTTGTATCTGTGTTCTCATTCACCTCTAAGAATTTTTTAATCTCCTCCTTGATGTCTTTTGCAACCCATTATTCATTCAGTAGCATATTATTTAATCTCCAGGTGTTGGAATAGCTTTTATTTTTTAATTTATCATTAATTTTAATTTCATTACATTATGATCTGATAGAATGCAGGGTAGTATCTTGACTTTTTTTTTTATATTTGCTAAGAGTTCCTTTGTGGCATAATATATGGTCTTAAAGTTCTTTCATTTTAAACCTAAACATTTCTTTTGTTTAAAGCATTGTTCTTTTGAATATCTAGTATAAAGCTTGAAATTCATTTTATGTTTTGTATATATGTAACAACATTTAATACATATACCAAATGGAAACTCCTAGTTTTTCAGTCAACCTGAATGGGAAGTTGATCAAATGAAGTTCTTTGTTTTAAAGTTCTAGGTTATGAACATATTTGTACATGAAGCTCAAAAGTATAAAAGAAATTTTTTTAACAGAAGTAAAAAGATTAAATAGGTTTTAACTTTATCCATTTAGTGTCATCTTATTAATAAAATAGCTTTATGCTTTTTACCTTCAAGGGTTCAGTGGAAAGTTATTCATTCTGTATTGGAAGAAAGAAGAGATAATGTTGTTGTCATGGCAACTGGTAAGTTATACTAAGCAAGTAACCTGTCTTTTGAAAAATAAAACTTGAAGATTTAAAAATGTTTAATTTCTCATTAAATTCTCAAAATACAAGTAGAATTGATATAAAATATGTAAGACTTGATATAGGGGATGAATGCACAAATTTATGCATGAATTATCTTTGAGGAAGATGAAATGTTAATATGATCATTCAGCTATGCAAGTGCCTTTTAAGAAGAAGATTAAAATATCAAGGATTAATTTTTTTTCTATGAGTATATTTTTTTTAATTTCAAGGATATGGAAAAAGTTTGTGTTTCCAGTACCCACCTGTTTATATAGGCAAGATTGGCATTGTCATTTCACCTCTTATTTCTTTGATGGAAGACCAAGTGCTCCAGCTGGAGTAAGTAATGTTTGCATTGCCACATCTTTCCCTCTTCTTTTATTCTATGAGTGAAACATCTGATGTATCATGTATGTTAAAATTTAGTTCACACTAATGCTTTTCTAAAAGTAAATGACACTTTGGAGGAAGGGCTTATCTTTTTTTTTAAGGCTCCACCACCACTGTGCTATATGTCCAACCTTGATTTTCTGTATTGAGTTCTCTGTAATTCAAGGCTATCAGGTGGCCTTGCGAAAATTTTCTGAAAAAGCATTATTATATTATACCAGTTTATATTGACTGTTTCAAAATTCTCTTCTAGTTCTGTTACCCATATTCTTTTTTTTAAAATAATAGTATGTTTTTATTGAATTTTCAAATCTGCTTGTTGATGCTATTGATATTTGGATTCTATTCAGAAAATAAAATCCAGGATGGATAAGCTAATTCTGGAAGATTACTGATGTGGGCACTTATCCATTTGGAACACCACCTATTTTTATTTATTTATTTATTTTATTTTATTTTTTCTTTTTTATTGATTTAAAAAATGACAGTGGAATGCATTACAATTCTTATTACACATATATATCACAATTTTTCATATCTCTGTATATAAGATATGTTGACACCTAATTCGTGTCTTCATATATGTATTTTGGATAATGATGTCTATCACATTCCACCATCCTTGCTAATCCCCTGGCCCCTCCATATTCTTGTTTTAAAAAATATTTATTTCTTTTAGTTGTATACAATACCTTTGTTTTTATTTATTTTTATGTGGTGCTGAGGATTGAACCCAGGGACTTGCACCCGCTAGGCGAGCGTTCTACCTCTGAGTCACAACCCCAGCTCTGTTACTCATATTCTTTAGCTTGGTATGAAGTATATATGTAAAAGTGTGTTTTTTAATCTGTGAAAACCTTTCCAACTTCTTCAACCTGAGCTTTCAATCTTTTTTTAAAGATTCTCTTTAACAACTACTTTCTGATATAGCCCTTGAAAAAATTTATCAAGTTAGTGAGATATAAAATGAGAATTTCTTTTTGGTTTTTAAGTTTTAAAAAGCTCAATATGTCTCTTTTTCCACATTTTTATTGATGCATTATAGTTGTCATAATGATGAGATTTGTTACATATTTGTACACGCACACAAAATAACAATATGATTTGCCCAATATCACTCCGTAGCACTTCTCCCCTCACTCTTCTCCTCCCAACCCCGTCCTTTTCCCCTACTGATCTTTATTCTGATTTCATGAGATCTGCCCCCACCTTTCTTTTCCTTTTTCTTCTGTAGTTTCTACATTTGAAAGAAAACATAAGACCCTTGACGTAATGGTCTTTAGTTCTATTCATTTTCCTGCAAATGACATAAGTTCATTTTTCTTTATGGTTTAATGAAACTCCATTTGTATGTATGACACATTTTCTTTATCTATTCATCTATTGATGGGCACCTAGGCTGGTTCCACAATTTGGCTACTGTGAATTGCCTGCTATAAACACAGGTATGTTTATATCACTGTAGTATGATGACTTTAATTCCTAAAGAATTAAATGCTGAGGAGTAGTATAGCTGGGTCATATGGTGATTCCATGCCTAGTCTTTTGAGGAGCCTCCATTCTGATTTCCATAGTGTTTGTATTAATTTAGTTCACCACAAAAAGTGAGATTTCAAAGACAAGGAGTAACACATTATCATGTTTTTTTATTCCTTCTCAATTAAGAATGATGTAAATATTTGTACTATAGACATTGCTCTAGAATATTGCTCTTTCTTCTCATAGAATGTCCAAAGTTCCAACCTGTTTTCTTGGATCAGCACAATCAAAAAATGTTCTCGAAGATATTAAATTGTGAGTAATTTATATGATTTCTGATCATGTGGTCAGTTGTCTATGTGGGAGAATTTTGTACACACAAAAAATTTACTGAATCCATGAATAAAATGGCCATGATTTTAAACATGCTTTCTTTTTATAGTTTATTTGAGAATTATTAATTTTAAAATCTTCAGAACTTAAGATATCTATTATTTTTAGTTCTTAGATTAGCATTGAATTATAAAATTTTGATTTTGAAAGAGAATTCGGAGAATATCTAGATTTGTTTCATTTTATAGATGAGAAAATTGAGGCCCAGAGGTAAATCATTTCCCAAAAACCACTCAATGAATTTGTGGCTGAGAAGGGACTGTATTCTGGGTCTCTTGTCCCACCATTTCTATCATGATTCATTTCTAAGAAGAATATCATTTCAGATATGCACAAAAACGTGCATGTATTTTTAATATAGGTATATATGAATTTACATATGTATATTTAGTGAGTAACCCAAACCCCATCAAGATAATTGAATATTACTGTTATTTCGGAAGATTTCTTCATGTCCCTTCCTAGTCTGTCCTTCCAATCTTATATCCTGAGGCAAAGCACTGTTCTAATTTTCCCTACCACAGTTTAAATTTGTCTTCTTTGAGTTTCATGTAATTGGAATCAGACAATATGAACTCTTTTGTGTAAGATTTTTTTTCATTCAGCATAATCTTCTTGTGATTTCCTTTATGTTGTTGCATGTGGAAATAGTGTTTGTTTAAAATTTCTGAGTTATATTTCATTATATAAAAAAGTTTGTTTTTACATTTCTTCATTGATGGATATCTAAGCTATTTCTGGTTTTGGGCTATGAATAATAAAGCTAATTAAAACATTATTATAATAGTCATTTGTGAGCATCTGTTTTGTTTTTAAAAACATTTTTATTCCTTTTATTGAGATATAATTTATATATAATAATTTTTACCTATTGAAAAATATATAACTAAATAAGTTTTGATGTATACATATACCTAGAAAAATCATCATCATAGTCCATATAATGAACATATCCATTACATGCAAAGTTTACTCGTACCGTACCTTTCTTCCTGTCTCTGCCTTTCCCACCCTAGTCATCAAGTAACTGTTGATCTACTGTCACTATTAACTAATTTGCGTTTTCTAAAATTGTATTTAAACAGAATCATCCAGGTATTATATGCTCTTTTTTGTCTGGTTTAAATAATAGAGCATATTTGTTTTGAGATTTGTTTATGCATTAACACTTATTAATAGCTAATTACAATCAAGTAGATTACATTATATGGATATATTGTAGTTTGTCCAGTCACCTGTTGATAGATATTTGTATTGTTTCCATTTTTGAGCTATTACAAATAAAGCTTATGAACTTTTGTACATCAGTCTTTGTTTGAACATAAAATGTTTTCATTTTATTGGTATATACCAAGGAATGAACTGATGGGATGAAGGGGTAGATATATATTTAAACTTTCTTTTTTCTAATTGAGATTAAGTTCATATAACATAAAATTTAGCCATTTTAACCATTGTTAAAGTCTGGTAGCTTTTAGTGTTAATATCTCTTTCCAGAACATTTTAGCACCCCCAATGGTACTGACACACTGATTATGTAGTCTCTTCCAATTGTCTCCTTTTCTACTTCATTCCAATTACTAATCTACTTTGTGTCTCTATTTAATTTGCCTGTTCTGGACATTTTGTATAGTGAACTCATAGAGTTTTGTGGTCTTTTGTACCTGGCTTTTTTTATTTAGTTTAATATTTTCAGTACTTCATTTCTTTTTATGTCTAAATAATATTCTATTGTATACGCGTTCCACATTTTGTTTATCCATTCATCACTGATGGCCATTGGGTTGTTTCTGCTTTTTGGCTGTAACTAATAATGGTGCTATGAACATTTATTTACAATTTTTTTTTTAGAGAGAGAGAGAGAGAGAGAGAGAGAGAGAGAGAATTTTTTTAATATTTATTTTTTAGTTTTCAGCGGACACAACATCTTTATTTTATTTGTATGTGGTGCTGAGGATCAAACCCAGTGCCACGCACATGGCGAGCGCGATACTGCTTGAGCCACATCCCCAGCCCATTTGCAAATTTTTGTATGAAAGTGTGTTTTTAAGTATTTCGTGTATATGCTTAGGAGTGGATCTGGAATATATGGTAAATCTATGTTTAACTTTTTAAGAAACTGTCAACCTTTTTGAGATTGGTATACCATTTTATATTCCCACCAGCAGTTTGAGAGGTCCAGCCTCCTATCCTTACTATTTCTTGATGTTACAGTCTTTAATTTTAGCTATTTTAATTGGATCTCATTGTGTTTTCAATTTGATTTTCCCTAATGACTAATTATGCATTCTTTCATATCTACCTGTATGTCTTCTTAGGGAAAACATCTAATCATTCTTTTTGCCCATTCTTATTTTTTTCTTATTTTATTGGTGCATTATAATTATACATATTGGAGGAATCCATTGTTATATATTCATTTACACAACATAATTTAGTCAATTTTATTTTTTCATTCTGCTTTTCTTATTGAGTTTTGATAATCACTTATATATTCTGTATTCAGATCCTTTATTATCCTTTATTTTGTTTATATTTTGCACACATATACCCCTAGTTTATGACTTTTCTTCATTGTCTTCACAGTTCTTTTGAATAGCTGCAATTTTACATTTTGATGAAGTCCAGTTTGTCAATTTAGTCTTTTTATGGAATTTACTTTTAGTGTTTCATCCAAGAAATCTTTGCTTAGTCTAGGTCACAAAGATTTTATGTTTCTCCTAAAAGTTTTATAGTTTTAAATTTCACATATAGATGTGTGATCTATATTTTAGTAATTTTTGAATATTGTATGAAGTATTGATTGCAGTTTATTTTTCACACAAGTATATCCAATTGTTCTAGTCTACTTCTTGAAAAGACTATCCTTTCTTTACTAATTGACTTTGCATCTGCGTCAAAAATAGGTTGAGTACATACATGTGGGTCTGTTGCTGCTCTAGTCTTTGTTTTGTAAATCTATTTTGTCTTGATGAGTGTTTAGATTACTTCATTACATTGAAATCAGGTTGTGCAAGTCCCTCCAGTTTTTTTTTAAAGAGAGAGAGAGAGAGAGAAGAGAGAGAGGGAGGGAGAGAGAATTTTAATATTTATTTTTTAGTTTTCGGCGGACACAACATCTTTGTATGTGGTGCTGAGGATCAAACCCAGGCCTAATGCATGCCAGGCGAGTGCGCTACCGCTTGAGCCACAACCCCAGCCCCAGTCCCTCCAGTTTTGTTCTTTTCTTTCAAAGTTTTTTTTGGGTATTCTGGGTTCTTTATATTTCCCTAAGTATTTCTTTTTTTTTTTTTTTAATTTTTTATTGTTGGCTGTTCAAAACATTACATAGTTCTTGATATATCATATTTCACACTTTGATTCAAGTGGGTTATGAGCTCCCATTTTTACCCCATATACAGATTGCAGAATCACATCAGTTACACATCCATTGATTTACATATTGCCATACTAGTGTCTGTTGTGTTCTGCTGCCTTTCCTATCCTCTACTATCCCCCCTCCCCTCCCCTCCCCTCCCCTCCCCTCCCCTCTTCTCTCTCTGCCCCCTCTACTGACATTCATTTGTCCCCCTTGTATTATTTTTCCCTTTCCCCTCACTTCCTCTTGTATGTACTTTTGTATAACTCTGAGGGTCTCCTTCCATTTCCATGCAATTTCCCTTCTCTCTCCCACCTCTCATCCCTGTTTAATGTTAATCTTCTTCTCATGCTCTTCGACCCTACTCTGTTCTTAGTTACTCTCCTTATATCAAAGAAGACATTTGGCATTGGTTTTTTAGGGATTGGCTAGCTTCACTTAGCATAATCTGCTCTAATGCCATCCATTTCCCTGTAAATTCCATGATTTTGTCATTTTTAATGCAGAGTAATACTCCATTGTGTATAAATGCCACATTTTTTTTATCCATTCATCTATTGAAGGGCATCTAGGTTGGTTCCACAGTCTTGGTATTGTGAATTGTGCTGCTATGAACATCGATGTAGCAGTGTCCCTGTAGCATGCTCTTTTTAGGTCTTTAGGGAATAGACCGAGAAGGGGAATAGCTGGGTCAAATGGTGGCTCCATTCCCAGCTTTCCAAGAAATCTCCATACTGCTTTCCAAATTGGCTGCACCAATTTGCAGTCCCACCAGCAATGTACAAGTGAACCCTTTTCCCCACATCCTCGCCAGCACTTGTTGTTGTTTGACTTCATAATGGCTGCCAATCTGACTGGAGTGAGATGGTATCTTAGGGTGGTTTTGATTTGCATTTCTCTGACTGCTAGAGATGTTGAGCATTTTTTCATGTACTTGTTGATTGATTGTATGTCCTCCTCTGAGAAGTGTCTGTTCAGGTCCTTGGCCCATTTGTTGATTGGGTTGTTTGTTCTCTTATTGTCTAATTTTTTGAGTTCTTTGTATACTCTGGATATTAGGGCTCTATCTGAAGTGTGAGGAGTAAAGATTTGTTCCCAGGATGTAGGCTCTCTATTTACCTCTCTTATTGTTTCTTTTGCTGAGAAAAAACTTTTTAGTTTGAGTAAGTCCCATTTGTTGATTCTAGTTATTAACTTTTGTGCTATGGGTGTCCTATTGAGGAATTTGGAGCCCGACCCCACAGTATGTAGATCGTAGCCAACTTTTTCAATATCTTCAAAAAAAAATAAAATACTTGGGAATCAACCTAACAAAAGAGGTGAAAGACTTATACAATGAAAACTACAGAACCCTAAAGAGAGAAATAGAAGAAGATCTTAGAAGATGGAAAAATATACCCTGTTCATGGATAGGCAGAACTAACATCATCAAAATGGCGATATTACCAATAGTTCTCTATAGGTTTAATGCAATGCCAATCAAAATCCCAACGGCATTTCTTGTAGAAATAGAGAAAGCAGTCATGAAATTCATATGGAAAAATAAACGACCCAGAATAGCAAAAACAATGCTAAGCAGGAAGTGTGAATCAGGCGGTATAGCAATACCAGACTTCAAACTATACTACAGAACAATAGTAACAAAAACAGCATGGTACTGGTACCAAAACAGGCGGGTGGACCAATGGTACAGAATAGAGGACACAGAAACCAATCCACAAAACTACAACTATCTTATATTTGATAAAGGGGCTAAAAGCATGCAATGGAGGAAGGATAGCATCTTCAACAAATGGTGCTGGGAAAACTGGAAATCCATATGCAACAAAATGAAACTGAATCCCTTTCTCTCGCCATGCACAAAAGTTAATTCAAAATGGATCAAGGAGCTTGATATCAAATCAGAGACACGCCGTCCCTAAGTATTTCAACATCACCTTTTCAACCAAAATACCTGCTGGGATTTTTGTGTTTTATTTTACCTTGAATCTAGGGATCTAAAGAATTAGCTATCTTGATAATTATTTTTACTGTTGTATACTGAAAAAACTGGGGCAAACTAAAGCTAACCTGCTAAAGATCACTCAGTTTGTAAGAAATAGAACTGCAGGGGCAGAGATTGTGGCTCAGTGGTAGAGCACCTGCCATGCATGTGTGAGACACTGGGTTTGATCCTCAGTACCACCTAAAAATAAATAAATAAATAAATAAAATAAAGATATTGTGTCTACCTACAACTAAAAAATAAAAAATTAAAAAAAAAAAAGAAATAGAACTACAATTCAAACCTGGGCAGTATGATATTAGAGCTTGTTATTTCTATTGTGTCTTATGCTAATTAGAATACTATATTAATTTCATGAAAGTAAAGACATTTGTTGTGTTCCTAATGAAAGTGCAATGCCTAGCCTGGAATAGACACTCAAATACTTGTTGGATGAATGAATTAAATATTGTAAAGTTATTTTTATGTAGAATAAGTTTTATTTTATTTAAGTCTATCTCTGGCTTCATTTGCTAGAATGGGGAAAACATTCTAGAAATGTTTTGCTTAAGACCTAGCCTTCATTACAAACATAGTCTTATTATGATTCTTTCTGCCTAGAAAAAGAAATTAACTGCAACGAGTGTAAGCAAATATTGAGTTTTATATTAGGGATAATGTCTCATATGGATCCATCTAAAAAGAAATTAGCCAGCCCCACTTAGGACGACTATAATTTGGTATGGAAAATACAGAAGGGCTTTCTTTTTATTTGCATATGTGTCCTCATCATTTTTCTTTCTGAAGAGCTTAAGTATTCTCAACTTGTCTTGTTACAAAATAGAAAATGGCTGCTCTGCAACTCTCTTCTTTTTACAATTGCAGTGACTAGTTATTTCTTTCCTTTTTGGGTGGGAGAGGGTACTAGGGATTGAACTCAAGGGCACTTGGCCACTGAGCCACATCCCCAGCCCTATTTATATTTTATTTAGAGACAGGGTTTCACTGAATTGCTTAGTGCCTCGATTTTGCTGAGGCTAACTTTGAATTTGCAATCCTCCTGCCTCGGCCTCCTGAGCCGCTGGTATTACGTACTGGTGTGTGCTACCTCACTTGGCTGGTTGTTTCTTGATCAGAACTCCAGATTCCAAGATAGAAACCTTTTGGCTTGGCTTTGATACAGTGTCTTTCCAATGCCCAATAAGGTTTAGACAAGAAAGCATAATACATAGAGTAAACATGAGAGAAGGGGGTGGTATGTGGCTGGGATTACATTGTGAAAAGTTTATTAAGGCTTGATCATTTAATTGAAACACTTTAATTTTGGGACTCGAATGCTGGAAATCAGGATCTGGCTTTTAATGTCATCTTAGTGCTAAATAGTCTGTGATAAGAGTTTTGACACATTTTATTTTGATATGTTGAATAGAAATAAAAGAATTAATGTATATCATATATCCCCACATGAATAGCATTCATGTAGTTTTTCATAAGTGGCATAATATAGTGTTAAAAATCTATTAGGTATTTTGATTTCAAGTATAACTTATTGAGGTGGTTAGTTTCTTTATTGTATGTTTCCTTTTCTGGTTTTTATTTATTTGTTTGTTTGTTTGTTTATAGAGGCAAATATCAGATTGTATACATGACTCCAGAATTCTGTTTAGGTAATTTGGACCTACTCCGGCAACTTGAGGCAAATATTGGTAAGTGACAAATAGATCTTTGTAAATACTTCCTGAATTGTTACCCATTGAAGTTAAACCTGTGGGTACTGGATTTCAAATATTTCCTCCAAGGAATCTCTGATTCTCTAACTTGGTGTTTTTCTTGTCTTATCTCTTAGAACATTGTAATTCTTTTTGCCATAGAAATTGGGTCCCTGTTTTATAACTTTCTATTTAATGTATCTGTTTTGCTTTTCCAAGAGACTACAAACTTTTTGAGTGAAAAATACCATTCTTGTTTGTTTATATTCCCTGAGTGTGTTGCTTGAAATGTTACTGAAATGTACCATTGAATGAATGTTGAATACTAGATTCTATGAAATTATGATTTACCTTTTTTCACATTCTGATCTAACAGGCCTAGGATGGGGCCTGGCACCTCTAGCTGTTCATAGGTGATTTTTATGAGTAGCCAAAGTTGGAAACCACCTTTAATTATAAATGAGTATGACTGATTACAGAACAACTAAACCTAAAACCTTGATATTCTAAGTCAGAGCTCATTTACTAGGAAATGTAAATATAGAATTAATCAAAATCTGATGCCATTTTTTGTTTTATACTTAAAACTTTTGGAGGCTGCGGTTGTAGCTTAGTGGTAGAGTGCTTGCTTAGCAAGTGTGAGGCACTGGGTTTCAATCTTTAGCACCACATAAAAATAAATAAATAGAATAAAGGAATTATGTCCATCTACAGATTAAAAAATATTTTAAAAAATTGTTTTTGCCTGGGTGCAGTGATGCATGCCTGTAATCCCAGGGGCTCAGGAGGCTGAAGCAGAAGGATTGCAAGCAAGTTCAAGGCCAACCTCAACAACTTATCGAGGCCCTAAGCAACTTAGAGAAGCCTTGTCTCAAAATAAAAAAAAAAAATAACAAAGTCTGTGAATATAGCTTAGTAGTAAAGAGCTCCCGAGTTAAAGCCACAGTACCAAAACAAATAAACAAACATAAATAAAATAAAAATAAATAAAATTTTTATTTGTTGTTTTTTTGATGATGAGGCTCAGCCACCTGTGAGTTGTGTCATGGCTTCTATTGCAAATGATTATATTTCAAATTTTCAATTGAACTAAAGTTTTCCCAGATTGTATGATCTATTTGAATAATTATTTATTGAAATAATTCCAAATAGGTTAGGTTTATAATATCACAACTGTCAGTTAATATCACATATAGGGAAAGTAACAGTTTTCTAGCAATATAATGAAAACAAAGTTGTATGTGATAAAACCAAGAATGAGAGTAGATATTAATATTTGAGTTAAATATATTACCAAAGAGTATACCCATCATCTGTTAAGCTCCCTTATTGGTATATTCTATTTTTGCCTTTAATGTGAGTTTGAAATGTCTCCTTTTAGGTTGTATGAAATTTCTTGTTAATATTTCACTTTGGGTTAAACTTAGCTACTTCATATGTTTCTTGGTTTTATTGCAGAAGTTAGTATCTGTGTCCATAGTGGTCTGAATATTTTTGTTCCACTTTAATATTTGTTTTATTTCTGTGATACTGTTACAATGAATTAATAGTTTAATTATTTAAGTAAATATTTATTTAATTAAGAGTTGTAAATTCCTAGTTTTTGTAATGTATAACTTATGAACCCTCATTCATTAGAGTAGAGCATAGAACATTTTGCTTATGAAGGATGAAAATGGTTTTTTTGAGTGACTCAGTGTTGAATTAAAAGGGACATATTAAATGAGTTTTTTTTTTTGAAATATTTTCCTTTGGCTTTTGTTTGTAGGAAATTGTGAAATGCTTGCAAAAAAGAACATACTCAGTGTGTTATATATACAGTAATCTGACATTTAGCTAATCAGATTTATCAGTTTTAGGTAAATGTTAAATTATGTAAGTAGTCTAAATTTATAACAGAAATAGCAAGTATGCTTGTGTGTGGAGAATCCTTACCAACCATACTTGTAAATTGTTTTTTAACTTTGGAAATAAGGCTTAAAAGGCCAGTATGCCAAAATGAAATATGTCTAGGACCTGGCAAGACACTTGAACTTGTACATTTAAAGTGTATTTTAGCTGCGTGTGGTGGTTCATGCCTGTAGTCCCAGTGACTCAGGAGGCCAAGGCAGAAGGATTGTGAGTTCAAAGCTAGCCATAGCAACTTAGTGAGACCCTGTCTCTAAGTAAAATATAAAACAGTTGGGGATGTAGTTAAGCATCCCTGGGTTCAATCCCTGGCACCAAAAACATCAAAAATAAAATAAAGTGTATGTTGATAAAGTTTGCCTAAACTGATTGTAATGTACAAGGTTCAACTTCACTATAAGCTACTTTATCAATACTGCAACTAAAACTTTTAAAATACAGGAGGACATCGTCTTTGTTTTAAGCTATTTAAAGTCTGGTTGATTTAGTTTCTAAAGCCAAAATAAGTATAGTGGTAACACTGAAAATTTCCCAGTTAGTAACCAGAGAATTTTTTTGCATTTTTTTTTTTTTTTTTTTGGCACCAGGGATTGAACTTAGGGGCACTCAACCACTGAGCCATATCCCCAGCCCTATTTTGTATTTTATTTAGAGACAGAGTCTCACTGAGTTGCTTAGCACCATGCCATTGCTGAGGCTGTCTTTGAACTCGCGATCCTCCTGCCTCAGCCTCTGGAGCTGCTGGGATTACAGGTGTGAGCCACCATCCCCACTCTTTTTAATTTTTTTAAATTATTTATTATTTTTAGATATGCATGACGGTATATTTTGACATTATGCATACATGGAGTATAACTTATTCTAATTAGGATCCCATTCTTGTGGTTGTAGATGATGTTGAGTTTCACGGGTGGTGTATTTATATATGAATATAGGCAAGTTATGTTCAATTAGTAACCAAAGAATTTGCTAATCAACCTACTTTGCTTATTTGCTTTCTTTTTCCTTCATGCTCTGTTTGGATTATCATAGCTAGTACAATCTCAACGAATTGCCATTGTTTATTTTTATGTCCATTTCCTTTTTTAGAATTGTGAACTCTTTGAGATCAGTGTTTCTTGTTAATATTTCACTTTTTTATTCCTAGAAAAGGATTTAGATTAAAATGACCATATAATAACTAAAATAACAACAGTTTTTTTTTTTTAATTAAACTCTTTTTTTCTTGCATCAGGCCCTATTTTAGCCTCTTATGTTAATGATTTTATTTAATCTTTAGAGTTATAAGAAATGTTAGGTACTATTACTATCCACAGTTTACTCGTAAGGAAACCAAGACTTGAAAAGCTTGAGTAACTTGTTCAAGGAAATACACATGGTAAGTGGTGGATCCACATTTTACATCTATGCAGTCTGATTCCAGAGCACATATTTTTAATCACCACCCTGGCAGAACATTATTAGTATTCCCATAAAGGGAAGTTAAATTTGTCTTTAACTTGAAAATTGAGGGCAAAACCAATATTAGTCATTACTTTGAAATGTCTTATTGGGTGGTTTTGCAGTGACATGTAATACTACACACTATCAACTCTGTTTTAGTGTATGTCTATAGTGTGGGAAGAGTAGAGAGAATGCTGGGAGGCAGGGTGGGTACCAAATTATATTTCTTCTTACCTGCTTTGTATGTAATGAGATTTAGTCTTCCCATACCCTTTTACATTAGACAATGTGGATTTCATCTTGTTTTCTATGACGTATTAGAGGAACTTTCTGCAATATGATATGTGATCAATTTTGGATACTGATGCACTTAATCTCAGTGGAAATATACTCTTTCTGTTTCTTTTGAAAGCTAATCCATGAGATAAGATTTAAGGTGTTGCCACAGAAAAATAGAACAGGCCACTTTTAAAAAACATTGTTGAGAGATGGTTCATAAGTGATAGTTTTTGGATAAAAAAATAAGTCATTCATTTTCCCAAGGAATAACAATAAAAGCTGAAATTTAATAAATATGTTATTTGAATTAATGCATACTTTTTCTTTCTTTTTTTTATCCTAATGCCTTTAAAATTTTTTTTTTAGTTGTAAATGGACAATACCTTTATTTTATTTGTTTACTTTTATATGGTGCTAAGGATCGAACCTAGTGCCTTACGCGTGCTAGGCAAGCACTCTGCCGCTGAGCTACTGCCCCAGCCCTATCCTAATGCCTTTTATCCATATTTCTTTCCTTCTCCTTTTTCTAATAGTGTTTTTTTTTTTAAATGTTATCTGGTACTATTTATACTTATGTTTTCGTATGAAACAAATATTTTGATTTGGGTTATTTTGGGTTTTTTGGGGTAATATTTATATAGTCTTAAGTGAAAAAAATGATGTTGATTTAGATGAATTTTTTTTCTTTTTGAACTTTTATTTTTCTCATTTTTGTTTTGTAGGTATCACACTTATTGCTGTGGATGAGGCTCATTGTATTTCTGAGTGGGGGCATGATTTTAGAAGTTCATTCAGGATGTTGAGCTCTCTAAAGGCAACACTCCCAATGGTAAGCTTTGCCAACTCTAATGTTTTTTAATGACATTTTCACCAAGTGGAGCATTCAGATCTGGGGAATGGCCAAAAAGCTGCAGACTTCTTTATCAAAGGGCAAACGGATGATGTAATCAGGGGAAAGATTTTAAAAAATTCTAACTTTGGCTTCTTTATAAGGTTGGTCTATAATATATGGAGAAATACCATAGAATAAGGCTTGGCAAACCTTTTCTTGAAAGAATCAGATAATAGTTACAGTAGTCCCCCCTTATTGATAGGGTATATGTTCCAAGAGCCCCAGTGATATAATACCCGAAGCAGCATATAGTACTAAACTCTATGTATTTATAAATTAGGCACAGTAGGAGATTAACAAACATAACTAATAGTAAAAGAGAATAATTATAACAGTATTCTGTAATAAAATTGCCAGTACTAGTACTCTCGCTTTCTGGAGCAGTAACTAAGTAATATAAGTGGTATTTGAATATAAGCACTGCCATATAATTTTTATTTTTAATTTTTTATTAAACCATCATAATAATACATAGTAATTACGTTCATTTTGACAAAATCATACATGCAAGGAATTCGATTTCAAGCTTCATCCCCTTCTTTTCCAATCCTCCTCCTTCCCTGATTTTCTCTCCTCTACTCTATTAAATTTCCTTTCTTCTATATATACATAAATGTGAAATTCTCTTTGGTATATTGATATATGAATATAACATGATTTTGTTAGATTCATCCCATTTATCTTCTTCTTTCCCTTTCTCCCTCCATCTTATTCTTTTAACTCCATTGCTATTCCCTAGGTCTTTGTGATATCTGATCCCCTCCCCGACTGCCTTCTTTCCCTTATTTTGTTTTAGTTTTTGCATATGAGAAAACATTTGACCTTTGATATTCTGAGTCTGGCTTATTTCAATTAGCATGATTTTTTTCTCCTTTCCATCTGTTTACTGGCAAATGCCATTATTTCATTCCTCTTTATGGCTGAGTAAAACTCCATTGCAAGTATTGCCATATCTTGACTATTAGTCTCATAACCAAGATAGCTACTAAATGACAAACCAGCAATAGCATATACAGTATCGATGTACTGGACAATTCACTTCCTAGGGAAAATGGAGCTGATTAGAATGATTTTATCACATTGCTCAGAATGGCATATAATTTAAAACTTACAAATTATTTAATTCTGGAATTTTCCATTTAATATTTTTGGGCCATGGATAACTGAAACCACAGACAGCCACACTGCAGATAATAGGAGTAGTATGTATGTGTCACATGTTGCTCTCTTTCTCTCTTGTTTTAAATACCCTTTTAAAAATGTAGAACTACAGTATATTCTTCACTATGGGCAAAACCAGGCTGTGGGCCATATTGTCCTATAGGCCATAGTTGTAGACTGTTGCTTTAGAAACATGGTTAGATTACCATGCTTCTCAGTGATGTTTCACTTGTAAGTTCTTTTGTGATAGGATGTAGTAAAGTATAGTTATCCCTCTTGTATCACATTAGAAATCTGGAAATTCAAGTATTCTAATGGTATTTTTTAAAAGAAACTTTTAAGGGGCTGGAGTTGTGGCTCACTGGTAGAGCACTTGCCTAACATGTATGAGGCACGGGGTTTGATTCTCAGCACTGCATATAAATAAGTAAAGATCCATTAACAACTAAAAAATATTTTTAAAAAGGAAAAGCTTTTAGAACTGGAATTCCACTTTATTCCCTTTCATAGAAAACTGTAGAAAACCAAATTTTTTGAAAATTTTTTACATGAGTGTTCTACATGAAGGGCATGTGTTACATGAATGGCTTGAAAACACAGTATTGACCTTATTTTCTATTTTGAAAACCTAAAGATCACAGGAAGTTGTAAAACAAAAATATGTAAGGAGATCCTGTGTACTTTCACCCAATTTCCCCAGTAATTGCATGACTGTAGTATAATATCAAAACTAGGAGTATGACACTATATAATACCAGAGTTTATTCATATTTCATTATTTTTGTAAGTTCTCATTTGTGTATATATGTGTGGAGTATTTTACACCATTTTTTCTCAAATAAATTTTGAGTTACTACCATTGCAATCAAGATATAGAATTGTTTTCGTTCCCACAAGGCTTCCTGGTACTGTCCTTTATAACTACACCCACAGTCCTCTTCACCCCAAACTTCAGTTCCTGCTAATAATTCTCTAATCTTGTTATTTGAAAAATGTTGTATAAATGGAATCACAGTTTATTGCATTTTGCAATTTTTTCTCATTCTCTTGATATCTATCCAAATTATCATATATTTCAAAAGTTTGTTCCTATTTATGGCTACACAGTATTCCATAGTATAGACATATCAAAATTTGTCCGACCATTTACCTATATTAAAGAACTTTTGGGTTATTTTTCAGTTTTGGGCTATTATGAATAAATTTACTATGAATATTTGTGTGTACCTTAAAGGTCCTTCATTAAGCCAGTGGTTAAACAACCAGTGAACATAAGTTGTTATTTTTCTGAGGTAAATGCCCGCAGAGTAGTTGCTGGATCCTTTGGTAAGTGCACGTTTTGTTAAGGAACTGCCTTACTGTTTTCCAGAGTGGCTGTACCATTTTCACTTTCCACCAGCAATGCATGAGAGATGCAGTTTCTTCTCATCCTTGCCACCTTTTGGTGTTAACACTATTTTTAAAATTTTAGCCATTTTGATAGATATGGAATGATATCTTGTGTTTTAAATTTGTATTTGTCTAATGGTGAATGATTTTGAGATTTTTGTGTAAGTTGCCTCTTTGTAGAAATACCTGATTTAATTGGATTATGTTTAAATTTTTTTTCTGTCAAGTATTAGGAGTTTTAAAAATAAATAAATATATATATATCTGTATGTGTATATATACATATAACATACATGTGTGATATTATGTTATATATATATATAGTATGTTTTATATATATATATATATATATATATATATATTTATATATATATATATACACACATACATACAAACACACACACACACATATATAGTAGATCTGAGTCCTTGGTTAGACATGTGGTTTGCAAATACTTCCTTTCAGTTTTAGCTTATCTTTTCATCATTTTCACAGTGTCTAAAAGAGCAAGCATTTAAAATTTTGGTGAAATCCAGTTTATCAATTTTTTCACTTAGGGACTAGGCTCTGCACCTAGCCATAGATGGTAAAGATTTTCTTATATAGTTGTTTTTCCTTAACTTTATAGTTTTATTTTTTACATTTAAGTCTGTGATCCATTTTGAGTTCAATTATATAGGTGTGAAGTTTAGGTTGAGGTTCATTGTTTTCCCTTATAATGCTCCAGACCATTTGTTGAAAAGGCTGTCCTTCTTCTGTTGAATATCTTTATACTGTTTCTTGAAACAGTTCTTGTCACAGAACAGCATACTATCCTGGTTTTCTTCCTTGGTTTTGCCTTAGTCTCCTTTGTTTCTTCTCATCTCTTTATCCTTTTAATGTTGGCAAGCTTGAAACCTTAGTCCTTGGACTTATTCTTTTGTACTCAAATTCCTTATCATCTTATCTAACAGATAGGGCTTTTTCTTTTTGCAGTACTAGGAATTGAACCTGGGACTGCTGTAGGCTAGGCATGTACTCTAACAGAGTTTATATTCCCCAGCCCTTTTCTCCTCCCACCCCCCATGCCTCCTGCCCCATGCTAGGCATTGAACCCAGGGTTGTCTACCATTGAGATACATTCCCAGCCCTTTCTATTTTTCTGTTTTTAAATAGAGTCTTGCTTAGTTGTCAAGGTTGGCCTTGAACTTGAAATCCTTTTGCCTCAGCCTCCTGAATCTCAGGGATTATAGTCACGCACCCCACCATGCCTGGCTCAACATATAGTTTTAATACTATCTATATCCTGAGAACCTTCAGGTTTATATTACAGCCTTGGACTAATATTAGCAATATGTGAGTGATTCAGTTTCTCTGCCTCCATGCCAGCACTTGGTATTATCATTATTTTTTGTTACATTTTATAGAATATAAATATAATATTCCAAAGAATATTTATAGAATATGTATATATGTGTGTATACTTGTGTGTATGTGGTATACATACACATATAAACACTCATGTAGATATATAGTTACCTTCTGAAGATTTTTCTACTTAGATGTCTAATAGGTATCTCAAACTGTTTCAGAATGACTTCTTGATAGTCTCACCACTCTAGACCTTCCCTTCCCAAGAATCTCCAAAATCTTATTTAATAACAGCTTCATCCTTCTGGTGTTGAGGTCAAAATTTTTAGAATTTCATTCAACTCTACTCTTTGTCTCACTCTCTACAATACATTTAAACAGTAAGGAAATCTTGTGAGGTCTTTAGGATCTAATCAGTTGATCCCTGCCATTTCCCTGGTACAAATCTCCAGCTTTCACCTGCACTGTTACAGTAATCTCCTGCTTTCACTTTTCCCCTTCTCCTATCTATTTAAGTACAGCATTTGAACTAATACTTTTTAAATATGTCTGATATATTCCCCTCCAAACCCTCTGGTAGTGGCATGCAGACATTGATACCATGTCTTACTGAGTCTTATTATCTAGTCTTCCAGTTTTGCTTTGACCTTATCCTGTCCTAAATGCCTCTTCATTCACTGCATTCCAGCCACTCCACCTTCCTAGGGCTTTACATATACAGTCATACATACATTACTGGATAAGGGTCTGAGGAGGTCCCCTTTTAGACAGAAGGAATCTCAGTTTGGCCCTGGCAGGTTCTTGACTTATGCCACAGAAAGGAAGGAAATTTCAGGATATATCAAAAGAGGCACAAAGGAAGTAGACTGAGGTGTAATAATTACAATAACCAAAGGTAGGCTGGGTGTGGTGGCACATGCTTATAATCCCAGCAACTCAGGAGGCTGAGATAGTAGGATCACAAGTTTCAGGCCAGCTTTGGCAACTCAGTGACACCCTGTCTCAAAATAAAAAATGAAAGGGCTGGCGTTGGGGG